AAAAATAAGCAACATAGTGTAGAAGCAAGTAAGTAACAATGCAAAAGAGAAAAATCAAGTTGTCCCTTACTTGTCTGGTCCAACACAACTGGCACTGCTGTCAGTGCTGTGGCACCACTATTGGCATCAGGTTGATTATTAACCATGTTGGCATCTTCTGAATTGGCCACTGGTAAATCACTGGGAGTGGGAGGTCCAGCTTTTTCAGTTGAACTAGTACTGGCCTGAGATGTGTTTAGAGGCAAAGATTAGGTGGTTAAATTAGGACGTATGGAGTAGACAAAAAGTTTACTGTTTGACAGTGGTTAAGGCTCAAGCAAAATAAATTCTTAGAAAATCCTATATAATAAAACAAAATCAATGAGAAACTTGTAGAGCAACAAGCTTGAAAAAAAATGCTTCAACAATTCCTTCAATTTTATACCTCTAATAACTTTGAGCCTCATGGTTACTGCAGCACACAGCACAGTACCTGCAAAATCTGAATGACATCAGGATGATCTGCTCGAGCAAATTTTGCTGGTTTTGTGCTCCCATCATCTTGGAGATGCCAGGTATCAATGTGCCGCTTTTGTGATGACAAGTTGTTTCTTACTATTTTACAGTTCTTAAATTTTTTCCCATCTCCCAGACAGGTTAAACAATAGTGCAGGTCTTTTGAAGAAGCAGTTTTATCAATTGGTTGATGCTGCACTGATGATGATGATGATGAAGTTGAAGCTATTGTAGATAAATCAGTTCTACAAGATGGCCTTTTCTGGCAACTCATCAGAACTGAAAATGCTGAAAAGGAAGAATATGTAATCATGCATGGTAACTTTTGAACACTAAGCATAATTTTCAAAGTTTTTTAAAGAAAATATAATATACTTCAATTGGTATGAGCTAACTGAATTCATTGAAACAATCCTACAGGATACAGCCAGTGATAGAAGTGAATTAATCAGAGATAGCAGTGAATCAAAACGCCATCATGAGATGATGGGGACAGGGTTAGATTTTGGCCCTGTGTCTTCAATAGTTGAAATACATCTGAAATGCTATTAAAAATATGAATTCAAAATGAAATAGAACAAATGACTTGGAATTTATTACCAATTTAAGGTGCAATTTGCAAAGGGTAAAGGGTGCAAGATTCTATCTGGACAAATATGACAATTAGACAACTAATGCCAGTCTAGCATCTGCCAGATTTTGGATGAATTCAGACACAGGTCACAGCCTCACAGGTGCAGAGGTGCTGACTCATGATGGCTGAGGTGCACAGCGGACATCTCAACTATCAAATAAAGCTATCACTCAGCCTATCAGCTATGTAGAAGGTAGAAGTAAATTCATCAGTAAATTCATGCTTACCATTAACATCACCCGTTGCCTTATTTTGGCTTGAATACATCTCAGTAGTCAGTTGGTAATTGGTATGCCATATGTCAGCAGTATAACTATTGTCGCTTAGACACTATTGAGGCGGTATGGTATGTGTACAATTTAGAATTTTGTAATACCAATTTTGTCAAAATTTGTAATACCACTTGAAACTACGAGGAAAAAAATGGACAAAACTCTCATTGACATTTGTAGCAATAGATTCACAAAAAATACACTAGTAAAGAAGAAAATCATCTTCAATCAAATTTGCTTCAGAAAGTGGCCCAAGATGCAAGATTAGACCTTTCCAGTTTCCAAAATTTAAAATTCCAATAGCTTATAGCCATATTGCATTAAAATTTAAGGCAATTTTTGATTTAGATTAGAAAAAAAGCTTAGCTATGCCTATGCATCGCATTTGCATGTAAATGCGTGAAGAGGAATTCGGCGTAAATCAATTGATGAAAATAATTATTTCCAAGAGTTGAATTATTTTCATTTGTAAATATACAAAGTATTACTATTATATAATGATAGTAATCCGTAATTGTGTTTTAATTGCTAAATAGTATGATTAGTGTCCAAGTTTTGATTTTTTTTTTTTGTGATTGGAAATGCAGCAGTGAGCAGTGAAATAATTTTCCATTGAGATTTGAGACACACATTATAACTTTGTCTGTGATGCACCATAGAAACCTGTCAAGTGTCAACTCAAAGTCAGAGAAAATGCTAGAAATACTCTTCTTATTCACCCACACTGTTCCATTAAAAACCAATCATAAAACAAAATTCTTTAGAGCACTATCATACTATGGGACAACACTTACAAATCGTGCCGTAGGTCCGTAGCAAGCAAACTAAACAAATTTCTTAATAAAAAAGATAGTGGTCATAAAATGATAAATATAGTTGTACCAAGAGAAGTCAAGATTAAAGAACCACACCGCATATCATTCACCGTCCATAACACGCTCACGCCCCACTAATAAGTGCTAATTGCATAAAAAAACACAGGCACCGGAAGAAATCTATCTTAATGATAAATTTTCATTTTTATTGCAACAATGAAGGTTAATTATAGAGGCGAACAACTAACATTAATAAAAATGAGAATAGCTTCAGAGGAACACATCACACTCGAAGTCAAAGATCGAAAATGCATGTGTCATCTACAGATGACAGACGATGTTGCCATTCCATTCAGATGGAAACTGTGTCGGACGGCTCCGCGCCGAGTGCTGCGCGGCGTGGAATCAATGACTGTGATCTGTGCAAACGTCTGCACGAAGAAAATATAATTAGATTATATTGCACCAAACTGCGCTGACCTAGGGCTTCAAAAAACTATTTATGCGCGGGACCTTTCCCCGTTTATATACATCTTCCTGAGTGTGGTGTGACAGTAATGACATGCCAGACATGGGAATGTATTCAAAGGACTGAGTTGCATAGTGGACTTTGGTGGTTAGTGGCTAGTGCCACTGCTAAATAGAGATTTTTTTAAGCAGTTCATTTTTACCTTTCTTATCTTGTCAAGATTTCAATCAATTATCAATATCTTGCATATCACATAATCACAGTGTATGATAATGCTGCTTGACAGCATGGTAGAATTTCAGGTTTTGTATAGTAATGTTGCTAGTGAGGAAATCATCTACTCTCTAGCAGTGACTGGATTTTTTGAGCCATGAATTGATAAATGTTCAAACTGTAACCCTTTTTTCCAAGCCATGGATAGCCATTCCTGAACTGCAAACTCATAGCAGCAATGGCACATGTGCATATTACAAATAAGCTTTAATTTTGCCCTAGAAATAGCAGTTAAAACATTATTCCCTAATTCACATGCACTTAAGCTCATGCTAATGCCTACCTTCCATGTTTGCTAAAATAAAACATGGTTTTACAAGAGTCTGAGCCATGAGTTGAAGATCTTCATCTTCAACATAACATTCTTGCTGCTGTCACAGTTCAGTATATACAAGTATGACAAGACTGTGGTACTAACCTGCAGACCTAAATATTTTATAGATCACTGTAAAGATAATGATGACACAAAATTATCTTCTCAAGATAATGTTTTGACTAACCAGTGAACAAAACAGTACACCTGCAATTGCAAAGGACTAAAAGCTTGAAAAGGTTACATATAGCAACAACTCGCATAATTTTAGAAATAAAATATTTTCAACATGATGAAACTCTTTCAAGCAGTTTAAGACATGTGTTGTGTGATTCTAGGCAAAAATTCATTCACGACGATAAACATCTTATGAGAATTTCTATTTTTTTCAGTCAATGGTGAATGTGAATTAATTTGCATTTAGAAATGATCTATACCAACATCTAATTTTGATTTTTGTAGCTAGACCTGCTTTGCACACAGCTTGTTTCACAAGCTCACAATGTTTATGAATGCCTAGACCAAATGTACATTCAACCAACAAGTTCAGTTGTTGTCAACAACCAAAACAAATCATGACCAATCAGGGCCTGGGACAGAATGTTAATTTTTGTTAATTGCTATTTTACATATGTGCATCATTTATTTTTAATCCAAATGGAATCTAGCATGATGGAAGACCCATTTGTTTGTCACACAGACAGTGCAGGCAGCTGCCGTCCAGTGTGAGTGACCTCTTGATAGTATCTTAGTTTCTGTTGCTTTTCACCTGTCCCTCCTTATCACTTTGTCTCTTTGAGATGCTAAAGCTGCTTCTTTTGAGCCAGCTGCCGGCTGGACATCTGAGGCCTTCTGCCTCTTGTGAGTGATGATTAATTAGAGACTTGAAATAATTGAGACCTTCGGCCCCGCTGGCAATGTTATCTTTTGACCTCTGGTGCAAAATAGCTTGATAGCTGAAGTGCTAGCAAACCTTGCTACTAGGTACTAATCTACTTACCAGTAAGGCTGTGATTTATATATTAAGTATAAAATTTATTTTTAGACAAACTTTTCCTGCTTGTAGGGTAAATGAACTACATAATTTGAGCTAAATATTGAGAGATTGGCTAGTGATTAAAGGCTTGTATTTTTTTTAATGTGAAAAGTTCAGAAATTTGGATGGCTCTGCTGAGCCACAATCCAGCTGTGATTCATGAGGTGGATATTTTCAAGTCTTAGAGACTTCCATTTTTTGCACTTTGTGCCTTGATAATTATGGTGATTGTTGTGAGGTATCTTGGTATCAAAGATGTAAAAGCATAGAGCGTACAACTTGTTACTTGGCATTAAAGAAATAAAATCATGTACCTTAATACTTGGTTATAATTTTTATCTCAAAACTAGGAAACCATTGTGAGAGTAAGAGTGTCTTGGCAGCATTCTTGATTCCCTTTACTGCTGGGAAATCAATAGACAAACTTTCCTTGGATTTTGACTGTTATTTCATCCTACTGGCAGACCAATGCTGGCTCACAATTTATTGAATTTCATTAACATTAGCCTCATCTGCAGTCCATTAAGATTTTATGTTTGACTGTAAATTGGCAGTGGGTAATTGTTTGAAAGCAGTGCCTAAATTTTTAAATGTGAATATGATAGTTGTTTTTAAATTTTTATATTTCAACTTCTATCAACCAACTTCCGTGTCTTAATTGAATTTTAAATTACCTGTTGAACTTTTTTGTGCAGGGATGGATTGTTAGGAAGCATGTAAATTTTGGCTCTAAATTTCACTGAAGCATTTTTTGCTGTTATCAAAGCCATGATACTGAGGGGTGCATCAGAATTGTTAAAGCTCCTACTACAGAGTAGGGCTTCTCCTTGGTATTCAACCAATCATGGCTCTTCAATTCTGAACCTACTGTCATTGCAACAATCACATGTGTCAACTTTATCTTTGAAGTGCAATGACAGGAAGCTTTTTTCACCCTCAATAGAAAACAATTCCTCAAGAGATCTTTTTACCTCTGGTAGTGAAACTCATTGTGGATTGCAAATTTATAGAAATAATAATTTTCTTAGACAATCTAGTAATACATCAGGAATTATCTCAAAGCATCAATTTTGGAGAATAATGAACAATATACAGTATGGAAATCACCAGGTATCTTCTTATATTTTTATTAGTAATTACACTTGTACCAGAGAGTTCAAATTGTACCATTGTAAATCTGTACAGAAACGCAATACTAGTCCCAACATTAGAATTAGTGATGAAGTTGCAGACAAGTCTAGTATTGACTGTCTGAAAGTGGTTGCTGTTGAAAAGCACACAGGAAAATTTCCCACTACCAATCCTTCACTGAGGACAAGTGATGGCATCTCCAACACGGACTTTGATGTTCACTTGACCCCAGCTCAGAAATTTGTGAATGGTTGCCCACAAAGTTCACAGCCATATCTCCAACTGCTCAGAATTGACAGACCAATTGGTAAGCTTGCATTTTGGTTTTCTGAGTTCCAAACTATAGATGGTTTTTTTCATGCCCTGATGATCTTAAACTATGGAAGGTCATCAATAAATAATTATCTATTATCCATGTAAATCAAAAATTTAAAAGCAAGGATTAAACCACAAATGTTCATATCTTTATGGAAAACGTTTCGGAGTCCAGCTCCATCGTCAGTTCGTAGAATCTATAATTTACATAGAAAGTCACAAATTAGTACAATTGAAAGCACAAAAAAAAAACACACAATTAAAAACCTAAACTTACAAGTACCAGGGCACAAAACCTATCTATTCACAATTTCAAGAGGATAGGAGCTACCAGCTGAATTTAAACTGAGATCGCATATGAACAGGGAGCATATCTTTATATCTAAAGAAAGAACCGATTTTGAAACTGTTTACCAGAACAATATGAAGTTTGACGTTTGGAAAGTATCTATCGAACAAGGCTGTTAATTCTCTTGACATAGCTTTGGACGCAGGGCCGAAGTATGGAAAAGAACAATAAATAACGTTCCTACTATCGCGCTCAGGAGCAACCTCACTGAAACGCTTCGACATGAATTTCTTGATTTGGGTATACACCAAACTTGCCGGAAATCCATTAAGCGAGAATATATTTCGTAAAAATTCAAATTCAGCGTCCATAGCATGGTATGTTGAACAAATGCGAAAACCTCTGTATAATAGAGTTTTAAGCCCATTTAACTTGAACCGGAATGAACAAAAACTAAAGAAACTTGTATTAAGACCGGTGAATGTCGGTTTTTGGAACACAGAAGTCAAAAAACGGCCATTAGATTTTGTAATATTGCAATCGAGGAAGGACAAACTATTGTTAGATTCAAGCTCCATAGTAAATTTGATAGAATTATGTTGTGAGTTTAGGTAATCAAAAAATAGTTTGACATGGGAGGAATGTTTAAAAATTAGAAAGGTGTCATCGACGTATCTGTTATAGAATATTGGCTTAAACTCAGGAGGACAATTGGCCAGCCAAGAAACCTCGTGAAAACACATAAAAATATTTGCAAAGGTCGGGCCAAGCGGTAGTCCCATGCCTAAACCGTCAATCTGTCTATAAAACTTGCCAGCAAATATGAAAAACGAGTTAAGAACTGATAATTCTAAAAGAGATTTGAAAAATTTACGGTTTAAACCAAACACAAAATCATTAATATTTTTAAACAGAGAATTAAGACAAATTTCAATTGTTTCGTGAAGGGGTACATTGGTAAACAAATTTTCCATGTCAAATGAGGCCATAGTTAAATCCTGAACGTCAGTAAAACCTGATAAGGGCAAGGGGAGCATATCTTTCTTTAGATATAAAGATATGCTCCCTGTTCATATGCGATCGTCCCTGGTTTATCAATTTCGTTGTGCACAATGTGCATCTGTGTACGTCGGGATGACGTCTCGCAATCTTTATTCCAGGGTCGCTGAGCATAAGGGCAGGAGTTGTAGGACCGGACAGTTACTATCGCGCCCCCCTCATTCGGCTGTGCGCACTCACGCCGAGCAGTGTGGTGTCCCTGTTTCTGACAGTGACTTTAGAGTTTTAGCTTCCACCTCCGGTACTTCAGATTTGCGTATTTTAGAATCATTGTACATTTTTAAACTTAGGCCCAGTTTAAATTCAGCTGGTAGCTCCTATCCTCTTGAAATTGTGAATAGATAGGTTTTGTGCCCTGGTACTTGTAAGTTTAGGTTTTTAATTGTGTTTTTTTTTGTGCTTTAAATTGTACTAATTTGTGACTTACTATGTAAATTATAGATTCTACAAACTGACGATGGAGCTGGACTCCGAAACGTTTTCCATAAAGATATGAACATTTGTGGTTTAATCCTTGCTTTTAAATTTGTGATTAACTTGCGATTTAAGCAAATAAGTGACATCAATTCCATGTAAATCATATGTGTAATTGCTAAAGAGACATACATAGAGGCTAGTTGGCCTTCATTCAGGTCTTGAAATATATTGTATTATGTATTTTACTTGTTAAGGTTTTCTTACAGATTCCAAATTTCTGCGCGTGATGCGTTTTCTGTCAAGCTTCTAATACATTTTTTGTCATTAGGCACATGGCTTCTCTTCTGGCCATGTGGCTGGGGCCTGGCCATTGCTGCAGGACCTGGCTGCTGGCCCGACCCATGGCTGATGGCCATCTTTGGCATGGGGGCTTTGGTGATGAGAGGAGCTGGCTGCACAATCAATGATCTTTGGGACAGAGATATAGACAAGAAGGTAACATTTTCATTTTTCATTTCATTGTGGATGTTAGTTTTAGGCCTTCTGTTCACGAAAATGTTTGAATTGTAATCCACATAAATGGTTTTTGTCATAAGTTTTTTGGTGTTTGATATTGTCATCATGTGGTCATTCATTTTATAATGTACACAAAATTTAATGACCTTCTACTTGTAATTTATAATTTGGCAATTAGTCAAAAATTTCTTGGTTAACATATATGTAGTGTTTTTAAATTAAGTACGTTCTATCTATCTATCTATCTAAGTAAGATCTATCTATTATTTTAATCTGAAAAAACGCCAAGTAAATTTCTTTCATGAAAATTTTGCTAAAAAGTCCATACCTTCCTTTTCTACCAATTTTTCAAAAATACTGAGGCATTTATTGTATCTTGGAATCAGCTTTTGTATGCTATCATCAAAGGAGCTGGCCTCCATATTAGACAGCCACTGCTTCACAGTCAGAGCCAATTTCATATGAAAAACTCCTTGAGACAGCAGGAAAGTCTTCACCTAAAGACTGAATTGTGAATTGTCTGTTCTTTGTCACTTTACACTCTACTTTTTCAATCAGATCATCAGTCATGACTCATGACTGAAAGTCTTCCATTTTGTTCCTCATCAAAAGTCACCATGAATGTTTGTGTGGCCGTCTTAGAAGGCCCTAACCCATTTCCACACCACTCTTTCACACATAATGTTGTCACTATTCACTTCCCTTTATCCGCATTAATGTCAACTACACAGAGAAACTTTATTTCAGTATGCACTTTGCAGTTGGTGGGATTTGTAATAGGTGGAGGAATTTAAAATAGACAGCCTAATTTAAAAACAGTATATATGTTAAAATTAAGCCCTTAAGTTGTTAACAATGGCTTAGGAAGATAATATTCAATTATGTTTCAATCCAACCAGTCCACTAGTACCTCGTTCAGTGTTTTATTAATAGAGGCGATACTGCCACATGTGCAGGATTTTTGACATCACTATGAAGTCGTATGTATTTTTTATATGGAGGACAGAATACAAATCAAAGGGCATTATTTTCCTTTTAACGGGAAAATTGAATAAAATCTGTGGCCTCCAACTTCCCAGGGTTGTGACAGAGGCTATATTATCATGCCTCTTACACTCGTCAATTATCTGCATGAACTTGGCATGCAGATCTTATTTATTTTTATTGAAGAAAAGTGGTTACCCCCTTGGCTCGAGGAAAAGCTCCACATTGAATTTAAAAAATTATATATACTATCATACATGCATATTCATACATATCATACACATACTTCATGGATATTATGATTGCGCAGGTGGAACGCACAAGAGATCGTCCCCTGGCGAGTGGGACGGTGAACCTACTGGACGCAATAGTGTTCCTAGGAGGGCAGCTGAGTGTGGGTTTGCTGCTGCTGCTGCAGCTCAATTGGCAAGCAGTCTTGCTGGGCGCCTCATCCCTGGGTCTGCATAATATCTAATTCACTGTTTGTAGCTTTGTTTAGGTTAAGTAAATTATAGTAATGCCACGCCATAATGGTAATTCATTTCTTCTGTGTAGAGCTGTAGCATTGTTTAGGTTAAGTTAAGTATAGTAATGCCACGCCATAATGGTAATTCATTTCTTCTGTGTAGAGCTGTAGCTTTGTTTAGGTTAAGTAAAGTATAGTAATGCCACGCCATAATGGTAATTCATTTCTTTTGTGTAGAGCTGTAGCTTTGTTTAGGTTAAGTTAAGTATAGTAATGTCACGCCATAATGGTAATTCATTTCTGCAAAGCTGTTGGATTTACTGTTGGACAACGAGATTCAACGTGGTTACATCAATTCTATTTCTGTTATTTATTTGAATCCATAAATTCATTGTGCAGATGTATGTTTTGTGAAGTACCTATAAATTGATTTATTTGATCTATCTATTATTTTATTTTAGTTTTTCAGCTTGCTTGGTTATATATATTTCCTGTTAGCTTGAAATTCAGGCAATACTGAGTTAGCTATGTCTTTTGATTTACTTAGTTAAGTTACCTTGTTGACTTACATTATTCTTGAAGAAAAACATTGTTTTCCCTCCTCAATCTGTCCTTTTGAAAAAAATCGTCTTGATATGATTATTTGAAATGTATATAGCTACAGAACGGTATAGTAGCTTCTGTATAGTTGTGTGTATAGGTATATCACATGAGTATTCAATTATTGCATTGCAAATTAAGTAATAGATGCCATTTACTTGATCAGGTCTGGTGTGCATGTACCCGCTGGTGAAGCGAGTGTCCTACTGGCCACAGCTGGTGCTGGGCCTCACCTTCAACTGGGGCGCGCTGCTGGGCTGGTGCGCTGTGCACGGCAGCATCTCGGCCTTGCCGGTGGTGCCGCTCTATCTTGCCGGCGTCTGCTGGACTCTCATCTATGATACTATTTATGCACATCAGGTCTGTCATATTTTTATACCGTTCATAGTCATGCACTCGGTGATATACCTCATATTTTTTGGCTTTAAGGTCCTTTGCCTCGCTACTAATTTTAGTTTGCTTGCTACTTATCATGTTTTGTCTGGACTCTCATCTATGATACTATCTATGCACATCAGGTCTGTCATCTTTGTTTACCGTTCATAATCATACACTTGGTGATATACCTCATATTTTTTAGCTTTAAGGTCCTTTACCTCGCTACTGACCTTAGTTTGCTTGCTACGTATCATGTTTTGTCTGGACTCTCATTTATGCTACTATTTATGCACATCAGGCCAGTCATCTTTTTATACCGTTCATAATCATGCACTCAGTGATATACCTCATATTTTGGGCTTTAAGGTCCTTTGCCTCGCTACTGACCCTAGTTTGCTTACTATGTATCATGTTTTGTTTAAAACTTACGTATGTTGTGTGTTGAGATAATTCAAGATTTCAAGTCATTTGAGTCCAGTCATTCGATTACATGTGTTATGCGATAAGATAAATTTAAGTCATTTGAATCCTTGTTGATTTCTCGCGGTTACTTACAGGACAAGGCTGATGACGCATGCATAGGCATCAAGTCAACGGCGCTGAAGTTCGGCAGCAACACGCCGGTGTGGCTGAGTGGTTTTGGTGTTGCCATGGGAGGCTGCCTGGCGCTAGCAGGCTACTCGGCAGGCTTAGCTTGGCCGCACTACGTCGCCACCACCGCCGCTGCCGCACACATCTCACATCAGGTCAGAGTGGGTACTGCAGTGCTGGTCATAGTGGGCACTGCAGTGCAGGTCATAGTGGGCACTGCAGTGCAGGTCATAGTGGGCACTGCAGTGCAGGTCAGAGCGGGCACTGCAGTGCAGGTCATAGTGGGCACTGCAGTGCTGGTCATAGTGGGCACTGCAGTGCAGGTCATAGTGGGCACTGCAGTGCAGGTCATAGTGGGCACTGCAGTGCAGGTCATAGTGGGCACTGCAGTGCAGGTCATAGCGGGAACTGCAGTGCCGTCAGATCTTACGTAATGAATGACGAATTTTTTGCTGTTCATATTATGTGTAGATTAATATTGCGCATATTATTATTATTAATATTATGAATTATTTGGCCCTTGAATTTGATGTTCTCCATTGGTTTTGGCATTATCGGTACTGAATGTATATGTACTTATACGTTGCACTGGATAAAGGGATCAGAGTGTCATAGTATCACTTCTAAATGAACTCAGTGGTAAAAGTGATAGATTTCTATCGCATGATAGAAATTTTACAGGAAACCTAATTCCGTTTATTTTTCAGATATGGCATCTGGATATCGACAACAGAGCCCAGTGCGGCAAACTCTTCCGCCGCAACCGCCATGTTGGCCTTCTAGTCTTCCTGGGCCTCGTCGGCGGCTCTGTCTTGGCCCAGGAGAACAACGGCCAGCAAACTCAGCCAGATAATTGGACCCAGACCGGGTCCCCTGTGAAGCCAAATTTACTCAACGAATAAATAATTTTTAAATCGCTTAGTATATTTTTTCTTCTTGTGTGCCTAAATTACTTGAGCTAAGGTCATAAATTGAGCCTTATATTCGAAATCTTGCAATAGTCATTAAAAATATTTGATATTTTAGGGTGCTCAATGCATGTTTCAGCTGTTTTAGATGCTGCTGATGTAAATGTGTGCGTTAAATGCATCATCAAATATTGCCATTGTGCCATGATTTGATGCGCTGCTACTATATTGTTTTCAATTTAGAAGATTTTGAGAAAATGAGAAGGATGTATAGCTCCTAAAAAAGTTATTGTCCTAATCAATTTGATATACAGGAATGTGCCGTAGAAAGTCTCGACTCAACCTGTGTCTGTGATCGCCTAATAATTATCCTGTTTCTGTATTCATATGAAGATCTTTGTGTAGATCAAGTGCCTTGTTGTTTTGTCTGCAAGTGTCTGTTGTTCATGTTTGATTGTTTTGACTGCATTTTAATTAATTTTTCTTTATGTGCCATGCTTCCTAACTGTTGGGATGTAATGCTAATTTTTATTGTAAAGTAATCAATGACATTCTTGGGATGAATGATGAACCCGTTTTATTATAACGAAAGTACAATACCTATATCTTTCAAATGTTTCAATTCTTTACATTTTCTGTCACTGTGCATACAAATACACGGGAAAGTAGCTAACTCCTGACCAGTTATCTATGAACCCCTGGTCAGGTGTCCATGAACCCCTGGCCAGGTATCTATGAATCCCAGGTTAGGTATCTATTAACCCTTGGACCTTGGTCTAGTATCTATGAACCCTTGGTCTGGTATCTATAGGGTGATTCAAGGAAACTTCCTTATTTGAAAGCCCGATAAAAAAAGAACTAGTGAAGATATCATTACAATATAAATTTTATTGAACAACACATTACCTGTAATATTGTATCACTTGGTTTAAAGATGTCATCGGACAGATGACTCCCCTCATTGTCAATGCATTCAGTTAGTCAATTTTTTAAGTTCCATTCAACTCGCTGAAGCATAATGACGGATATGCTGGCAATGGCTTGGCGTATTTTCGTCAAATAAAGTACTGTTCATGGACGGTCATTGTAAAAAATTGTTTTAAGATAACCCCATAAAAAATTGCACGGAGCCAAATCGGGGGATCGGGCCGGCCAAAGAAAGTCAATTCTCAAGGATATGAGCGATAAAGGTACGGCCATTAGAAAAGTACGCCTTGACAGCAAACGCACGCTCTTCACTTGCCCAATGCATAGTCGCAACTGACTAGGCTAATGAAACTAATGGAAAGTGGAAAAATCTGTATTTTTTCCATTATGTTTCATTTATGAAATAACTAATATGCAAATATCTGCCTGTCAAATCTTCCTGTTCTCAGTAATCTTCCTGTTCAACTAGCAATTTTGTACAATAAAATGTACTAACTAGCAATTTCGAGATCTGAATTAAATTGTTTTAGTGATCTGTACTGTTCATGACATATTACTATATCATGCAATTAGTTATGTCTTTAGATGGCTGAATGAATATTAAAATATTGTATGTGCTTCCGCGTGTTGAACTTCAGCCATGAGTCCCCTTAAAATGATCAGTTTATTTTTCCAGAGCACTTGGTATTTGAATAACACTTGAGGTAGCTGCTTATCCCTCGTTGCTCCTGCTTCTCCGTTTCGACGAGACGCTAACTCTCTCCATCTCTCTCTTTTCTACGGCAGAGCTAAGCTTAATGGTTATATAATGCCATTTTTCCATTGTAGGATATAAATGATTTACTCAAACAGTTTATCGTTGTTAAGACCTACATTCTGACTTCCAGCGACGGTTAAATTACTCTTTAGAATTAGATGATGCGCAAGTAAGCAATTAGTCTTCTACCGAGCTCCAACTAATTTACATTTTGTTTATGAGTTGTAACTACCAGACAAAGTTTTTGTCTCTCTATGGCGAAGGTTCATCATTGTTTTGCATTCTGTCAATGCGGTACGTAGTGAAATACGAATAATTTATTAATTCATATGAATACTATATGACACTGCGAGACGCAGGCTACCAGCGAGCTCGACGGATTTAGTTACGGGATCTTTTAAAGTTTCGGAGCGGTGTTTGCTTGACTCGTGTGACATTTCTATGTGCATGCATTGTAGGGAGCGAAAAGAATATTCCCTCCTTGCTTGTGTTTGATATCATGCTGGGTTAACAGGCAGTGGTCTGAACGTGAGAATCCTGCTCTCTGAGCGTTTCGGAATATTTATTTTTCGGTGTAAATTACCTTTTCTGAAATCTGAATGCATTGGTTTTGGTTAAGCTATTGTTTACTTGGTCGGAAACGCTTAACCTGCTGCCCGACGGAGCTCGGATTTCCCTCTTTTTTTCTGGTCCAGACTCCGGGCCAAGCTCATTCGGTCCGGGCCAGAACCCGGGTCGAGGACTGAGTGTGCTGTGTGCGTGTTTGGGTTAGAGCTGCGGGAGAGGACGGACGTGCGAGAGGTGCTCTCTCGAACTTTTGATCTTTCTTAGTTCGTGGATACTTTTCAATCAATTAACTTACGAAGATAGGGAAGGTTAAACGTAGAAAAGACTACAGTCATTCGTCCGCCATTCAATTACGTCCCAAAAATGAGGTAATAGGCCACGCCGCCACGGGGACGGGAGATTTCTCCTGACTCTCGTCCACAACCAAGCTCGCCGTGTTCAAGCTTCCGAGGTCTGAGAGTGGCAGACGCCAGACGGCAGTGTGTGCCCACTGCCCGCAGGCCGCAGTGAGGCTGAGTGAGCCACAGTCAGCCACTCCACGCTCTACGGCATTCAGATTTCAGACCTTTCCTTTAATTCCCTACCAGCCTACCTACCGACGGCGACAGGCTACCGTCAGCCGGTCAGCGTCAGGCATCAAACGGGGTAATAAGGGATGGGCGGGGTAAATTGGGACAGTCGTCCCTCATTTCGTAAAAAGGCTTGGCAGCTAAACCAGTTGTTACCTAACTTTTTTCTGGCTGGCGCCCATTCCCTACTAGTACTAGGGCAACTAGGCTAGCCTAGCACCCAAGTCTGAAGTCCCAAGCTTAGCAAGCTAGGTATGCTGCAATTTTAAAAGAGAAAGGTAAAACACAAATCAAATGTGTACCTATGTAGGTATTTCACAAATAGGCTTGAAGTAGAACCCCATTTAGTGAACCACTATATTTTTTTACTTACAGCTTTAACTGGTTTAGCACTAGAAATTCAAGACGGTTTGGACAAATTTATGGCCGGACTTGTTGCTGGTCTCACCTTCTCTGGCGTCTCACTGCCATTTTCCAAATTCAGTGACCAAGTAATATCTCCCTGGAGCCCTAGTCTGGAAAAGTCCTATTTTTGTCTGAAATATCGCGGCTCTAATATCATATAATTTCAGTAGGTATGAAATCTCGCGGCTCGAATGTCATAAATTTTTGTTTGATTAAAAAATCGCGGTTTGCACTTCGCAAACATGTCATTTCATAAAATTTTCAACTTCCGCAATCCGCATTGCTTTACCATTTCCGCCAAAAATATCTTAGGCTCGAAAAATTCAGTCGCGGCTCGCCAACTTCCAAGTAGATATATTCCATACTAGCTGGAGCCTGGATTCTCCCAAGACCCAAACTAATGAACGCAGCTGCCAGCTTGATAAAACTTGCAACGTGTATTCATTAAGACCTAACAGTGATGTTTAGCTTGTGAAAGAATTTTAAATTTCACCTTCATTTCATCATTTGGAAGTTAGTTAGGCCTATCTGCCTATATGGCAATATGGGCCAAAATTAGCAGTGATCAAAGAATTTCTAACAAACTAGACCTCCGCCTAGTGTACAGATTCAAACATAATTTTGAATATAAATTCCTAACTACCAAACAGTAATTTTTAGCTTGTGAAAATTTATTAAGGCAGAGTGGCAGACTGTTGGTGTCTTAGTCATATCCTGCATGTGTTGTATGTCATAAGTATACAATTTGTCAAACATACAAAATTCTGACATCAACTTAGCAGACTGCCACCGGCCACCCCGCAGCCCCCTTACTGCCCTTTTCTTTGTCTCTGCCCCTCCCATGGTCAGGAAGATGTGCCAGGTGCGTGGGAATTTATTTTGTCATGTTAAGGCTTGTAGTCAACATGCAGCGAAGTCTGAGAGCGAGGTTGTCGCGACCATCGTGTAAAATCCTTGATCTGCCCAAAGCTCGGCCAGTCGCTACCCTCAAGCTTGTACTCTTTGTAATATGATATCCTAGCCAGACCCTTCTTCCCGGGAACTGGTCGCTTTCAGATGGCCAACTGTCGGCTATAACTAATTGGATAGGCCGACCACTGGCCACGTATTATTCTTCGCCCCTCATTGACTTCGCCTTTACCATGCCACCCGTTGTGAACTGACAGTTGGAGTAATTTACGACGTCTCTTTCCCCTCAAAAATTGCACAACGTTTCCATTTGAGCAGCTAGTATGCGGGATTTTCCCTCCGCGTATCAGCAGACTTGATCATAAATATTTTTTGGTGGAAAATATCTATAACAAGGAAGCTGATCAAGGAATGCCGAATATACCATTCAATTGACAATAAAAATTACAACCCGTTTATATCTCGAAAAAAGTGTAAAAGTCGCAGACACGATGAGCAATAATATTCAAAGTTTCTTGAAATTTCCTCTCATTAAAACTTTTAATACAAAGTTTACATATTTTTTGTTACTGGTCGACGCTTATAAATAAATAGCTGGGTAAGTATGGAAAAATCCATATCGCCATCTCATTTGCGAGTGGAGTAAAGTCTATCCTAATTAGTGAAGAAACGCTTAGGGAAGAGCCGAGCCTGTTCGAAGCCTCTCGGCTTTCAATCAGGGCCTTAACGACCTGCGTTGTGCACCGTACTATGCTGGTAAAAAAATGCGCCATGCGCCGTACTTTAGAAAGCTAAAATAGTTCTACTATTTTAGTCGACAATATACGCGAGTATATTGACTACGCGAGTATATTGACTACGCGAGTTGAACTGACAATAATAAAATGTGAGACATGTCCGGGTTACTTCTGACTCTTCCTCAGTCCGCTTGTCGGATACGGAACGTACGGTAATCGTAAGCTGCGGTTATTATACATACGAAATGTGAACAGATGGTGTTCAGTGTTGCCATATGACTTTGGAGAAAATTTCTTCTAAAATAAAGTTCTAGATTTCTCATTCACCAAATTTCCGTATCAAGAAAAATCATATATTATTGAAAGATAATTAAAGCCTAAAGGCATACTGTACTGAGTAATGTGAGTATTATGTCTGTTCCTCCACAAACTGCTCGTGCGCGGCAGCGCGACGTAGAATTGATGGCCGGGATTGCGCGAACACGTGCGCGAAGAGAATCAATTTTCATTACATTGCGCCAGCTGTGCACAGCAATAGCTTAAAAAAAGTGAAAATGCGCGGGAAAATTCACCAATAACCTACATCATCCTGAGTGCGGTGCCCCTCCCCTGGCTCCCCCCTGATCTTTCCAGTGAGTTTCCACTGCCTTCAGACTCCAGAGGGTGGAAAGGTATTGCCCACTTTGGGAACCACTGACCTAAACTAATCAAAATGTTGCAAAATTAAAAATAATGGCATAAAGTTCAATATTTTTACTATCTATTTAACATAAAGCATGTTAAGATATGATATATTTACTGCCTCTAAAAAATCCTTGAAAAAAAGTATGAAAAGTGAGATTTAGGAAACATACCTGTGCTGTGCGAGAGAAGGGGGAGACTGTGCAAGATCCCCCTACGTAACAGATCCACAGTCATTTCAATCCCTGCGGGAAGGATCACTTTCCGTGGCAGGACCAAGGCTGTTCAACGCCCTACCAAGGGATCTAAGAGAGGGGGAGTTCACCCTGGAGACCTTCAAGAGACAACTAGATGTGTTCCTGAGCACAATCCCAGATCGACCTCCCCTGCAACACTACCAGCGGCGAGAAGCAAGCAACAGAATCGTGCATCAGGTGGCCCAAATGAGGGCGGATGAACCATAATCAGAGGCGGCGATCCATCTTGGCCTGGGACTGCTATGTCCCAAGCAAATACTAAGGATACCATGTTCTGTAGCAAAAAAAATATATTTGCTGTATCTAAAAATTTTACTTATATAAAAGTTGCACACAGGTGCTGGCTTAAAAACGTGATTAGCAGAATTTGTACAGCTCATACCAAAAAAATGCTAGCCAATTCAGCAAGACAAGGTAATAAGGGACACTCCCCAGGCACCAGGGTAATAAGGGACACCCCTAAGAACGCATTTACAGTAGGTGTAACCTTGATTAGCAAAGGCTCCAGTCAATGAAAAATCAATTAACAACAAAGCATTTTGATTACATTTACCTCGCTCAGTAAAAAAACTTTCACTTGAGCATTTTGATTACATTTACCTCACTCAGTAAAAAAACTTTCACTTGACAAAAAATTAGTGCATCATCAGTCATCATAAAATTTTTCGTAGAATCTAAGAATGTCTTAGATAGAATTACGCACCAGGCAACATAAAATGGAGAGTAATTAACCTAAACTATGATTTTTTCTCAAATAATCTGATGGTTGTCACTAAAATATTGTTTTCTGTGTCAGGTATGTTTTTTTATGATTTTTTTCATGAAATCACTTGACTCAATTAAAATAGTGCAAAATTATAAGTCCTGTAAGCTTACAGATATGGAAGTACTGCTATACGGCTGTCGGCTGTTGATATGAAGCTTGCAGTGGACAAAGTTGTTGTCAATGCTCAATGGCATGTCCATGGATACAGTAATATCACATCAATAATACATTAATGTATGGATAAGGTAATATATCAATAAAGGAAAAATGTAAAATTCACAGAAATGTCATTTATTCAACATCTACATCATCTACAAAGGAAGAGGAGGACTTAAAAGTACTGTTAGTAATGGATAAGTACACTCTGCATGCTTCAAACATTTTGAAATAAGGTTTTATTTCTAGTGTCCCTTATTGCTCCATTCCCAGGGGTAATTCAGGAGGCTTTTATTTTTTGTTTCTGTCACCTTACCAATAGCATATGGAATTTTTTCAGAGATGCCATACAATAGCCCTCGCAAAGACCATTAAAATGAGCCCAAACTCATTTAAGAAGTTGTTTCATGGTAAGAAGTTATTAAAGAAAATCCATCCCTTATTGCCCTGTTTGATGGTATAAGCATTGAACCTGTAGAACCTGAAGCAATCCTCAGGTTTCACTAGAAGTGACAGAAGATATGATTTGACCTCTGTTTACCGAAAATCAACGTTTACCAGTTTATGCACCAGCTTCTTCAGCTTTTGTTCATTTCGTTTCAAATTAAATAGTACCTATTCGAATGTTAATAAACCGAGGCTTTCGTATCTGCTCAACTTTCCATACTATGCACTCTGAATTTGAATTTTTACGCAGTAAGTTTTCACTTAATGGGTTTCCGTTGCAATTGGTGTATACCCAAATTAAAAAATTTTTGTCTGGGCAATACTCTGAGGTTGTTCCTGAACATGACCATAGGAATGCTGTTTAATGTTCATTTCCTTACTTTGGTCCCGCTTCTGAGTCTATGGCTAAAGAGTTGAAAGATTTATTCTCTAAATACCTCCCAAATGTAAATCTTCATGTATTGCTGGTGAATAATTTTAAAATCAGTTCTTTTTTCAAGTATAAAGACACACTTCCTGTTCCTATGCAATCGTCCCTATAGTTTATCAATATAGTTGTGCGCTATGCGCATCTGCGTATGTTGGTATGACATCTCGCAACTTTTATATTAGGCTGGCAGAGCATAAAGGAAGGAGTTTTAGAACAGGAAACCTGCTTGCGCATCCCCCTCAGTCAGCAGTATATATGCGTCCATGCCGAGCAGTGCAACGTGCCAGTGTCCAATAGTGATTTTTTAATTTTAGCCTCCACGACCAGTGTTTCTGACTTGTGAATTCTAGAGTCTCTTTATATTTTTAAACAAAAGCCTATTTTAAATGCCGCTAATAGTTTACATCCCCTCGAAATTGTAAATCGATAGATTTGTGCCTGTGTTTGCTTCATTCTTGTTTGTTTCTCATTTGACGATTTATGCATCAATGTGAATCTATTGCTTATGGTTTGTACCTGCGTTTTAGGTTATGAACTGATGATGGAGCTGGTCTCCGAAACGTTTTCCTTTTTAAGAAATGGTGAATTTTCTGGCTATTTTCTTTGCTTTTAAATTTTTGAAGATATGATCATTGATGTAAAGATTGTTAGGATGTGTTGTTGTATATTGAACCAGGGAGAAAGTGGTGACAGAAAAGGGTACCTATCTCAATTGCATGGGAAGGGGTGAATTATGTTAAGCAAGTTGGTCCTTCCTAAGTGGAACACATTAGACCAATTACTCTCAATGACACATAAGTTGCAACTCATACTGCACTCACATACCCTGCTGCTTGTTGCTAAAAAGACTGCATAATACTGGAACTGCAATTTGTAGGGTTCAATAATTGCATGCTGACTACAAAGCTCCTTTGATTGTGCTAGAATGATGTGGTTCAGTTTGGTTAATCAATGAATTAATAAGTTTTATTGATGGCTGTAAACTGAATTTCATGATGAATACCGTCAACCGGGGCTACTCGGGACAGGCAGGGCTACTCGGGACAGGCCTATGACACGGCGTAAAGCTGTTGTAGTAGCGAAACTAATTGGAATATCGCAAAACTAAAAATAGTGGCGTAAACGTAACTATTTTTCCTATCTATCTAGTATAAAGGAAGTCGAAAAATACTACATTTACTTGCTTTGAAAAATTCCTGAAAAAAATGGTGAAAAACTATGTTTTGTAAAGTTACAACTGCTAAGGTATGTAGCAAAAAAAAATATTCGCCGTATTAAAAAATTTTACTTACATAAAAGTTGCACCCAGGTGTCGGCTTGAAAACATTATTGACAGAATTTGCCTATCTAATTCCAAAAAGAAATGGCAGCCATTTCCGCACGGCGGGGCTACTCGGGACACCCCCCCGGGGCTATTCGGGACACCCCCAAAAACGCATTAAGGGTAGAACCTCAGTTAGCAAAGGCTTCAATTACAAAAAAAAATTGATTAAAAACAAAGAATATTGATCACATTTTCCTTGCTCAGCGAAAAAAATTTCACTTATCGAAAAATTAGTGCATCATCAGTCATCTTAAAATTGTGCATAGCATGTCATGTATAGAATTGTGCACCAGGCATTATAGAATGAAAAGTAATTGACCTAAACTATGATTTATTTCTCCAAAAGATAGGCTGGTTGTCACTAAAACATTCCTTTCAGGAAGTTAATGATCACGGGAAGTTAATGATCACGCTAAGTTAATGATCACGTGAAGTTAATGATCACGTGAAGTTAATGATCACGGGAAGTTAATGATCACGGGAAGTTAATGATCACGTGAAGGTAATGATCACGCTAAGTTAATGATCACGTGAAGTTAATGATCACGTGAAGTTAATGATCACGGGAAGTTAATGATCACGCAAAGTTAATGATCACGGGAAGTTAATGATCACGGGAAGTTAATGATCACGGGACGTTAATGATCACGGGACGTTAATGATCACGGGAAGTTAATGATCACGCAAAGTTAATGATCACGCGAAGTTAATGACCACGCGAAGTTAATGATCACGTGAAGTTAATGATCACGGGAAGTCCCAATTAAAATGATGTGAAATTACGAGCCTTCCTGTAAGCTTACAGATAGGAAAAAAATGTTATAAGACTGCTGATATGAAGCTTGCAATGGACAAGGTTGTTGTAAATGCTCAATGGCATGTTCATGGATACGGTAATATCACATCAATAATATGATAATGTCACATCAATAATACGGTAATTAATGTATATGGCAATATCATATCAATAAAAGAAAAACAAGTAAAAATCACAGAAAATGTCATTTATTCTATCTCTACATCATCTACAATGAAAGAGGAGGACGTCAGAGTACTGTTAGTAATGGATGAGTACGCTCTGCATGCTTCAAATGTTTTGAAATTAAGTTTTATTCCCGTTGTCCCGAGTAGCCCCAACCGACGGGGCTACTCGTGACAATCTCTATTTTGCGTCTGGCACCTTACGAATAGCATATGGAATTTTTTTTACACCGCCATTCGATAGCCCTGCCAATCAGCTATAAAATGAGACTAAACTTGTTTATGAAATGTTTCATCGTAAGAAGTTATTAACTGTTATTTAAAACTAATCGTTCAAATCTGTCCCGAGTAGCCCTGGTTGACGGTATGTTATTGTGGTGCCATAAAAATTGTAAGAAGCAATATGTGGGTATAATAAAAATGTTTGTGAAGGGTATTTTGTTGTGGGCCATAACAATTTATGGTGTTAGAGAAAGCATATTTTAGTTGATATTGTGTAAAGTTTTTAAACATACCTAATATGGTTCCAAAATTGAATTTGTATTCATAAATTGAATCTATAAATTTCTCCCCAGATTTTTTGGCAAAAACGCTTACGTTTCTATAGCTTTTCATGCTCTTTTTGTGCATGCAGAATTAATCCATGTGAAAACAAGATGCTGCCAGAAATGCAGGATCTGCACCTTTGGGTGCGGCCAGAAATATTTGAGCTGGGAGTTCTGCCTATTGTCATCCCTGAGAAGATATCTGTTGAGGTAATGTTATCAATGCGCAATAAATTCAAACATTAGTTAAAGCTTTTAATCTCTAAATTCTTCTAGTTGCATTACTTTGGAGAAGATGTAGATTTGTAGTCAATATTTGAATGTTATATCTGACATGGCTATAACCATATTTTTGGAGTCGCTCAACCCTTTATATTGAAAAATGTGTTCCATGAACTGCTATAGAAACTGAAGCTCTACAAAGTAAGGAATAAGGTTTTTAAATGCCAAATAAGTGATTTGCATTTTTTAACTATGGTACCTCCTTTATTATAAACAATACACCCTTTGCAGTAGCATTCTATAATTTTTCTCTGCTTTCACTAACAAATGCCATACACCAATTACAGTCAATCTTTTAATATTTCCCTGGATCTAATCCCTCTGTGTTAAGTAGTGGTCACAGGTTTGCTTACTAAACTTTGCAAGTACCAAATCTGTGAGATCTGAGCCCATGCAAACTATGGACCTCTGTTATGCAATTTGAAGGGAATCAATCACGAATATAACAATGAGCTAGGACTGTTCTATTTCTCATGCTTTGAGCTAGTAGAGTCTTGATATGTAGGTTATTTCTGCCTGTTATGGTATACGTTTTGAAATAATATTTAAAAGTGATTAATTCAAGATATTGAGATGCATTTGGCTTGTTATTGTTCTCAACCTGAGAAAAGGATGCAATATCATGTAAAAATCTTTATAAAAAATTCATTATTTTTTTTGCATTTCAGTTCATCATGTCATTGATAATGATTTCTTAGTTAAATAGTAAAGTTAAAGGGTTAGAAAATGTTTATTTTACCTCATGATATTGATCAAGTTTAGCTATCATTAATTAATTATTGATATTAATAGTATTACATGAGTGGTGTGATTTCAACTGATAATCATTCATTATACACTTTCAGATGTTGTCTAAATTGCTGCATCATGCCCGAGAACTTGGTGAACGAGGCTATCCCACCATGACGTATGAGACTTGGAACCATCTTGCTATCAGAAAAGTAAATATAAGACATTAAGCTTAAAAAATATATTACAAATGTGTTTTAATAATTTTTGGTAACATTGTGTAATTAAATTAACAAATAACTGGACATGTGGATATGCAGATTGTTTATCTGCTTGTGTGCCCCTGGTCTACCACTAATTATCCAAGCATTAAAACATGGCTTCGTTGACATCAGCCATTCTGCACTAATCAATACTAGACAAAATGTTGACCAAACACTCCATATTTTATTATTGTTGGCCTTAGATGTCACCCATAATAGAACTCTTACATAATCAGAAGTTGGAGTAAAGTTTTGTAGGAAATCACGACTCACATAGGTATATACGGTATCAAGTGAAATAGGGAAGTCATAGCAATCTGTGCTACTTTTGTCACAAACCCTTCATCTTGGTTCATCTGCTGCTAGTTACCAATTTGTGTATTTTTTTCTGAACTGTCAATTTCAAAGCAAATTATTTGGTTTCTGTGGAGCTCTTTCTTATGGATGAAATTCAAATTTATCTCGATTTTTTCTGTAGTTAATGCTCTTTTTGGTATTGATTAACAGAAACTTTTGGTGTCGCACTGCATTAGACAGCAAAGGGATAAGACTTAGAGTTAACAAAAATGAAATTCAAAACTTTCAGACTCAGAGTTATTAACAAGAACTGAGCACTAGGTTATTAGGTATCTATTAATTGTGTTTTCAAGCCATCGCATGCAAATTGTTCTTTAGGATGTAGTTTGTGTTACTATGGTACTTATATTACAGGTGATATTTGACCTAACCATTACTTATGATCAGATGGGCCTGAGTCAGGAGTGCTGCGAGGTGATGTTTCTCAACTGCCAGCTCTTCTCTCAGCAGCTGCCTCCTCAACAGGATGAAGGTGCTTCATTGTGTCCTAAGTTATTCATCTGATACTTCATCTCAGTTCAAAGTTAATTCATAATGGAGCAGGGTTGGTGATTTTTTTGATTTTTTCAAAAAAATAAAAAAAAAATAAAAAATCAATGATTTTTTTATTTTTTCATGATTTTTTATATTTTTTCATGATTTTTTTGATTTATTTGATTTTTTTTATTTTTTCAACTTTTTTCTCTTTTTGAAGTGTTATTTTTTATGTTGCAATTAGCCTACTAACAATAACAGTATATGGATCATAATGGATGGCTAATAAGGGCACTTATTGCCTTCAATAATGGCCAACAGCTGTCTCTTATACACATCTAGATGTGTATAAGAGACAGATTTATACTAAACCATGAATAACAATACCTCAATATAAATTAAAGACTGCCACTCAATATATTTAAATATATGAAAAAATCGAAAAAATAAAAAAAATCATGATTTTTTTTTAAAAAATCAAGTGATTTAATCACATGATTTAATCATTTTGATTTAATCATTTTGATTTAATCATTGCCAACCCTGTAATGGAGATGTTCATAGACATGACGAGTTCCACCCTAGACTAGCTTGTTCGTACCAGCACCGAAAGATTTACACTCTACCATGGCCTCTTGTCCTTACAGGGAAAGATGTCTTTCACAACACTTGCTGACCCACACAACACTTATAAATGTGTTACATAGTACAAAAGATTACAATAGTCAATACGGTATGTAGCATACATTAAGCTCAATAATTCTGCCCTGTTCAAATGGCATAACTATTTACTGTGCTGAATGGAATGGCTCGTAACCTCCTGCACCAAATAATTACTATCTGAGCTAAGGAGAGCAGGATTAGGAATATGTAGTCAATTGATACCTAGCATGTGATGGAGAAATATGCATTCGAAACTATTGTGGAAAGGGTTATTATGTGACTGTAAATTCAGTGGCCTGTGTTGTGGGAAATTTTTGTTTTATTCTCTAGCCAGCTTGCGGTATTATCTCTGTGAGCTCTAATGCAGTTGTAGGTATTGCATGAAGTTATACTATTGGTAAGCTTCAATTATTTTATTGTGTGAAATATTATCTTTTGAAAGTCATGTAAGTAAGTACATGTGACTCGTGTGTTAACGTTAGGTGAGTCAGACATGCTGGTCGCATATCTCATTAATAAAACGATTGCCCCGAGACATGGTGACATGGGACTCTGTGGTACATATGTATATTTTTGACGCGGTGTATATTATATGGGGTACGCGGGGGTGTGTATATGAAGGGTTATGCGGGGGTGTGTATATGAAGGGGTATGCGGGGGTGTGTATAACTGTATATGAAGGGGTATGCGGGGGTGTGTATATGGAGGGGTACGCGAGGGTGTGTATATTTTGACACGGATTGCCCCCAGACACGGTGACATGGGACTCTGTGGTGTGGACCCTGGAGCTCATCACGATGCTGTACATCCAGCGGGTGACCAGCGCCCACCCCCGCGTCCTGGCCCGGCAGACGTCCCTGCACCTGCTCACCAACGACCCCTGGCCTGCCACCGTCACGTCCAACAATGGCATGTCTCTTCTCATTAAAATCACTTGTTTGCTTGAATCGCAAGTTAAGCAAGAATTGAAATGCAGAGACAATACCACAAAAATTCACCATATCTTTATAAGAGAAAACGTTTCGGAGTCCAGCTCCTTCGTCAGTTCATAGCACAAAATTCTGTTCAATTTAATGACCTAACCGAATTTATGGCTCATATGACAGAGAATTATTAATGGCACGATGTATTGACTTAATCGAATTTATGGCTCATATGTCAGAGAATTATTAATGGTGCAATGTAATGACTTGATCGAATTTATGGCTCATACGTCAGAGAATTATTAATGACACAATGTAATGACTTGATCGAATTTATGGCTCATATGTCAGAGAATTATTAATGATACAATGTAATGACTTAATCGAATTTATTGCTCAAATGTCAGAGAATTATTAAAGACACAATGTAATGACTTGATCGAATTTATGGCTCATATGTCAGAGAATTATTAATTACACAACGTAATGACTTATCGATTTCATTGCATCTGACTCTTCCTTCCGAGTGTACCTGAAATTCGTTCTATAATTATTTATCCTGTATCGAACTATTTTGATAGTTCTTTCAACAATATTTTTCACAACCTATTCACTACTCACTTTTGTTTTAGATTTAATGTTTTCATCAATGACTATGTTATCATAATTTCTTTAACGTGTGCATTTGTCTACTATGCTTAGAAATAGTAAGAAATCATCTTTCCCATTATAAACTTAGCAGCACATCCCAGAGCTGCGGTCTCCTACGTTTTCTATGACTACAAGTCATAGGTTCTCTGATGGCTTAAACCATCAGAGGACCATAGACAGGATACTTTAGACGCCCCGTAGACATCCTTGCCACTGTTTCTTGTGACGCAGGTCAGCGTTGCATATTTCAACACACGTCCCACTTCTTCAAATTGTTTTACGCGAAGCATCTAATCAAAGAGTAAGAGTATGGATTGACATATCTGACCCCATTAGGCCAGAAATGAAAAATCAAGACTAGTTCTGCATTTTAAGAATTTATTGTGCTTCTCATAAAGACAGTTCTGACGGGTAACAACGTTGCAAGATGTGCTAGAATAGAATAGAAGTGTCAGCACTGAAGAAATAGTCCCATGCCTGTTGCCGATTCTTGAATTTTTCGTGACTTGATTCACAAGGGATCCGGCCTTTGGAACCCGATCTTTCCATAGCTGACGATTGATTGATATAGCTGCTGGACTTATTGCCTGGTCCGTAAGTTGCTAGGCAGTGAAGGACTAATGTGCTGCTGCTCACTCCCATTTATTTGCTGATTTATTAAAGTGGAATTTTCTCCATCACTGTTTTAGGTTATATGTATAAAAGTTTTCAAGTACTGATAACATTAAAACCGCGCAGGTGCTCCTGTGGCCGTGACCAGTGGAGCTGCGGTTAATGGATGCGGTGTGTCGAACAACCACGCCTCGTCTTCGTTCCCTGGGCTGGTCAAGAAGAAACTACCTGAGGAATATCATCTAAAATTCATCAAAGATTCGCTCTCAGAACTGCTTTCGCTACTGGCGGGGGTGCGTTTCATAATTTAATAGAATTTCATCTTGATTTGAAATGCATGTGTAAATAAGTAGATTGCAAATTTTTATTAACTAGACAATTTGTTTGAATTTCATGCTTTAGGATTAATAAGAAAAGCTAGCATGGATTTGCGGCGTGAATCGTGTTTCATTGATAGCTCTTAATGTTCCTAGCAAACGTCAGAAACGATTGTTTGGGGTCCTGCATTATGCAGATGTTCACACTCCATTATTGCTATGCATTGTGACCTTCCTTGTCTGAACTGAAACTTGTGACATTCAAGTGGTGAAAAATTGGTAAGATCCGAAGCATGATTATGTAAATAATCCCAATATATATTAGGCCATTCCTCAAAGATAACATCCATACCTACTACAATTATTAAATCAATAACCATTCGTGATCCATTTTAGGCGTCAAATTAACCTTCTGTAATTACTAAAAATGGTTAGTTGAATATAAATAAGCATTAAAGCCTTGCGAGCAGTAATATAACTGCTGGGTTATTTTGCTTTATAGGTGTTCCTTTTGTCAAGCGTGCTACCTCTCCTAGTACCAGCTGGTGTTGAGTGTGAAGGTTCTACTCAAGAGTGAGTTTGTCAAATAATAGACAAGATATACGTTAGCGGTCACACGAGTTAAGGTCGCTGGTATTTCAATTTCATTTATAGGTTAAAATAAAGGCGATTCTTGCTATAATTGAATATTGAAATAACTATTTTGCAATTATACAAGTCAAACAATGCTGGAACCACTGTTGTTGTTACAGTTGTTGCTCTGCTTTTCGATACCAATCGGTGTTTTCACGGATTTGCAACAGATAGTGAATACTAGTTGTTTAAATTGTGTGTACACCCACGTCTTTCATCGGGTAGATGGTCAAATTCTTATCTTTCCATTTTGTACAACAAATGAGAACTCAGAAATTCTGATACTCTCTGCACCTCTCGTTTGAAGGATAGAATAGTCTGAGTGTGAGTGCATGAAACGCTGAAGGTAAAAGAAATGGTGGCATAAAGTGGGCAGAGAAAAGAGGGAGACAATGGGACTGGGCGCAAGATTAGGTTGCTGATCGCTGCTTAGGTTTGAGTTAGTCGGTCAAGGTGGAAGGAATTATTTGTGAGTATGAACCATGGTACATAAGTGGATTTTTTGTCCTTAAACTATTTCTTTGTTTGCACAAGTGCATTAAGTGTTGCCAATCAACATGTCAGATGTTTGTTTTCGAAGGATGAGGATCTTTATTATGCACTGGTTTTCGAATGTGTTTGTGTTGAATGGCGTGATGCGTTTGTAGTGCTTCATGGTTGAGTGAGGATCGTCCTGCTGTTGTAAATTTTATATATTGAGTGGTGGCGGCCTGAAGTATTGTATGTTGAAGCTTCTAAGAGTAGGGGAGAAGCAATCCATTTGGTGACACCTTTGTGCAGCTGTAGTCGAAGACCCATGTGATTACTCATTGTATCCATTCTGTCTTTTGTGTTGTGTTCTTATGAACAACGTGCCATAAGTGTTCTTATGACACGTTGTCATGAGTGTTCATAACAACATAAGTGTTCATGACACGTTGTCATAAGTGTTCATAACAACATAAGTGTTCATGACACGTTGTCATAACAACGTGTCATAAGTGTTCTTATGAACAACGAGTGCAGATAACGTGTTTTGGTGCAATGGATGACTGAGTTTTTTTTTTTACAGCACGTGTCAGTAGAGGACAGTGAGAGCAGAGCCCAGAAGCGCAGATCTGGCGACTGGAAGAGCTTCAAAGACGTGCTGGGGTCCATGAGAGGCATGGGCGTCGTGGGCGTGGAGGTGGTGCGCGCTCTAGACATCCTCATCGGCGTCACCGCGCCCAACACGTACGTTTTACCTTAACATACGCGTACGTATGTTAGGGTAAAAACATTGTTAGCTTAACATAGTTCAGCTCTTCCAGCTGGTTCGGCAGAAACATTTTGCTGGAAGAGTTACTTACGAGTAGGATAATTTTAACTTGGAAATGCAACCGCGGTGTCAGGTGCCATATTAATTGTTACTACTATATTATACTATTATGTTAAGTTACTATGCAAATGTGACGAGAGGTGCGTACAGTCCTCCACCGCAGTACGAAGCGTCATAGGAACGAAATTTATATTTTCGTTTCATATTCATTTCGTGGCGCAGAATTTTCATCTAAAAAAGGTGCTGCAAGGCTATTCAATTGCCTAGGCTGCTCGTGGTTTGTATGCATTTATACCTCCATTTTTAAGTCTTTTTAAAGTGATCGAATAATTTTAGAAGCTTCTAGTTAAAATGGGAGGCTATTTGATTTTTGGTTGAGATACAAAATTTGAAATTTCTCAGTAATTTAATTCGTACGCTAGGGATGCCGGTAATTATAATATACTAGTTCGGTAATTGCCACGCCGCGAAAGACGAAATTCTGAACAGATTTATATTATTATCCTGATTATTAGTATCTCACCGTAATTTTGAAGTTGGGCTGCTCATCAGTCTTGAAAAAACTTCTGATGTTTTTGATACTGATTTTGATCTGCGTTGAAGGCTTGATTAAATGGCTATCGGCGTATCGCTAAAGATAGTAGGAAAATTTGATGCAAAATGTGCAGCCGGCATGCCGCAACCGTCTTGCCACAACCGGTGTGCCAAAACCGTCTTGCCACAACCGGTGTGCCAAAACCGTCTTGCCACAACCGGTGTGCCAAAACCGTCTTGTCACAACCGGTGTGCCAAAACCGTCTTGTCACAACCGGTGTGCCAAAACCGTCTTGTCACAACCGGTGTGCCAAAACCGTCTTGTCACAACCGGTGTGCCAAAACCGTCTTGTCACAACCGGTGTGCCAAAACCGTCTTGTCACNCAACCGGCGTGCCGCAACCGATTTGCCGCAACCGGTGTGCCACAACCGGCGTGCCGCAACCGATTTGCTGCAACCGGCGTGCCACAACCGGCGTGCCACAACCGATTTGCCGCAACCGGTGTTCCGTAACCGTTGTGTTACCAAATGCACCACTACAACGTTTACGTTACCGATCATTCAATGTTAATTCAGTCAATTCCAATTCAAAATAAATCGTTATTACTTTGTTTTAATGAAAACATTCTGTTGCTCAGGAGTGGTGTTAAACTGCTGGACGCCGCTATTGACAAGTCGTTCTCCTACCAATCAGGATATCTTAGCAAGAAAAATACATTCCAAAAGGGGTGAGTCTTTATTATTTTATACTGTTTACACACTCTGAATGTTATTATTGAATTTGAGCTGGGAATGAGCTCTCCACTAATGAACTGGAGCCTTTTTCATATTTTAACTAAATCAGTAAATTTTCATCGTACTTACTAAACTCATCCATTATTAAAAACGAGCCATATCAGTCATATCACATACCTTCTAAGTCCATTTCCTCCACATATTACAAGCTGGGACAGCTCGCGTAATTTGCTCTCGTAAATAAATGTTGAATAAGTGATATTATATGACGGCCATACGGACTCGCTAAGCAGCACAAATCTCTGCATTGCATGTCATGGTGCATTATCACGATTTGATTATCAATTTTTAGAGAAATCATTGCCTCGATGTATGATTTTTTTATGATAAAAACGTTGATAATTTGTTATTAATTGTCATATGATGAGCTCGCTGTAATCTTTTTTCTTAACCTGATGATCGGGCTCTATTTCTGCCGGTACTGTTATTACAGTTAATTCGTCATGAATGACGTTAGTGTTTTGAACTCATTCACAATCCAAATTGAGTTATTTGTCATGAATTTAATTTTTATATTTACCGCCAGTGGGGAATCAACTTTTAATTAATTGGAGACTTGATTTTTAGGAATGATTGTACCCTTGACTCATCATTGAGTGTGCAAGTATGACATACTTAATTTAATGATTTGAACGAATCATCCATTCGGGATTAAATTTCATGGTTAATATAAAATTAAATAATTGTTTTATATTAAGATTGAGGTAAATGTGAGTGGATTATTCGATAGTGTACTATGAAGCTTTAAAGCATTTTGCCGTGGCCAGTCTGTTCGAGCAGTGGGTGCTGGGGCGGCTGGATTGGTCCCCGCACGGCGAGTGGCTGTGCACGCGACGCGGGCAGCGCCTGCACTGGCCGGTGGTCGCTGCCTCGCCCCACCACAGGCTGCACTGCCACCCGCACCTGCCTGCACCTGCGTCAGTAGCCCGACAACAAACCCTGTTGAATGTTGCAGCTATTATTGCACGCAATAATTAATAATTTAATAATTTTGCAATAATAATTTCACAGCGGAGGTCGCTGCTTCGCCCCACCACAGGCTGCACTGCCACCTGCACCTGCGTCAGTAGCCCGATAACAAACCGTGTTATATGTTGCAGCAATTGTTACACGCAATAATTAATAATTTATGCAATAATAATCGCACAGGAATTATTGCGCGCAATGCAGCACACATGTTGCACGCAACATGTGTGCTCGGTATTATTTTGGTTTGAAGATTGTGAACCACCACATAACCTCGGCCCTACAGCTCTGGAGCGACCCCCTGTCGGTGGTGTCGTACTTGCGCGAGGGGGGTCTCTTGTAAAATGAGACCGGGGAACCACAACAACAACAACTCGGTATAAACAATTGTTACACGCACAGGGCATGATGTGTGCTTGGTGTATATTGGCTACTGAAACACCACGAGTTTCTTAAGCTAAATCAAATGAAAATATTACTATTTATTACATGTTGTATTACTGTTTAATTTTTGTGTAGTGTAGCGCTGTTTATTGTTGGTGCAATCTAGTGCTGTGCAGTCATCGTATTTTATTAGTTGTGTCATGTATTATAATTTAAAGATTAAAATAGATTAGAAGATAAAGATTATTAATCTTTATTTTTATCGTGTGGTTTATTTAGTTGATGTTGTTGCAGGCGAGAGCGGTTGGTGTGCATCAGTGACATGATCGAAGGCATCACAGTGCACCTCGGGGACGCCGCCACCAACACCACACCAAAGAAACCTGCGCGACAACCTGACCTCGGGTCATCCTCTCCAAATATTCCTGCTGATCCTTCTGCTTCTGTTGCTGTAAACCGTGACCAAACTCATCCTTCGACCGGACTTATGTTGGCGAAGGATGTTGCAGGAAGAGAAATTTTAATTCCTGATAGTGTTAATCTTAGACGAAAATTGGAAGTCAACGCAGGACTATCAGAGAATTTAGATGTGAACATTACGGATGTGGAGGCTCATAAAGTTCCAGAAGAAAATTGCCCTAATTCATCGACAGCGCCGAAAAACGTAAATAATAATTCTCAAGATTCTGCATTAAATAATCTTGATGCTGATTATAGAAGAGCACATAACGGCATTGATGTAGCGCTGTGTGATAATTTTATTTCAACAAATTCTGGCACAAAAGGCGCCAGCCACGCGCCTCTGAACCGCAGTTTGTCTGCGCCTTCGTCGGAGGCGTTCAGCGACTCTCCGCCTGCGCTGCCCCGGCGCTCGCTGTCATTGACGGACGTCTCTCGGCCGGCGCTCCTGGACGTCAAGATCAGACGTTGCACCAAGTCCCAGATATACATTCTACAGCCGCTACGGTGCGCAGGAACATAATCTTTTATAATTAACCTTATCAGAGTATTTTCCTATTTTCTGGCTAAATTTATAGGTCATCATTACAGTCGCACAACTAGTATGGTGTTTTCGCCACTTCTTTGTTTTGCACTAGTATCCTACAATTTTATGATTGTCGTCAAATCTGTGTTAATGATTTATTTCTTGCCTTTTGTTATAGGTACTTTTTGTTCTTTCCAATAAACAATTTGGTGTGCTTGGAATATATTTACATATATTTTACTCTGATTGTAATGACAATAACCGATTTTAGAGTTATAATAATTGTTAAAATCGGTCATTGCTGCATCGTGTAATGCAGGCACGTGTTGCTGCACCGACTGCACGACACCAAAGTGGTGCTGGGGCCCGTGCAGGGGCGTCTCCGGCTGCAGGAGTGCCGTAACGTGACCGTCGTCGCCCCCGCCCGCAGCGTCGTCATCTCCGAATGCCGCAGCGTAGCGCTGTGCACCCTCACCCCACACCGCCCCTTGCTGCTGGAGGGCTCCTCCAGTTCAGGTCTCAGGATTATTTTTATTCATTGTATTTAGTGAAGGAAACGTTTACACCGCCCCTTGCTGCTGGAGGGCTCCTCTAGTTCAGGTCTCAGGAATATTTTTATTCATTGTATTGAGTGAAGGAAACGTTTATACCGCCCCTTGCTGCTGGAGGGCTCCTCTAGTTCAGGTCTCAGGATTATTTTTATTCATTGTATTGAGTGAAGGAAACGTTTATACCGCCCCTTGCTGCTGGAGGGCTCCTCCAGTTCAGGTCTCAGGATTATTTTTATTCATTGTATTAATGGAAGAAACGTTAATAGAGGGGGAAACTGTTGCACAGATTTGGAAAATACGTGAGAGATTTTGCGCAGAGTTGGAAAAATCACGTATGCTACTAATTGATGGCGTTCTGCTCGATGGATTAAAGTACGGAACTCAATGAACGTCGAACGTTTTCTTTGTCTAGAAGTTAGAAATATGCTGAACTTTAGAGTGGTTTTCTGTAGATTTCGAGCGTTTCCGATTGTCCAAAAGCAAGGAAATCATTTGAAGTTATTTAGTTTAGGAATGTATTTTAGGTTTCTCCTTGTATATTATTTTCGCTAGTTACTTTTTATGTATAGTTTTTTCCTTCCTGCGCACCTATCAGTTTGGCAGGCGGCTGGTCTGCCACCAAACTGATTACCGAACTGAGCCCGCGAGGCGGCCACCGAGGTTAACCGAAGACATCGCGTGACCATTTTTGTTACCACGATGCGGCTTAAAAGCTCCATGCTAACAATTCTTGCTTTCATCAAATAATCTTTTGATAGTATAGTAGTCGTGATCTGAATTTTTTTTATTGTTTTTAATTTCTCACCATTCCATGAAAATTTCTATGCCCCTGCATGCATGCATTCATTTTACTTTAGTTTCGGGTTGTGCGAAGTGTCATCTTTTTTTATATAAACTTATTTACAGTGTTCTAATCATCCATATACATCAATGTCACTAACCTTATTACTGCATTTACGCTTAATTACCTTGTAATGCATGACAGGTCTGAGTTCAGTGACGGGTCACCAGAGCGTGACACTGGGACCGCTCAACCTGCACTACCCCAAACTGATGCTCCACTTGAGCCTCGCCCGCCTCAGAGCCCACGACAACAAGTGGAACCTGCCCCTCAGACTCGGTACGCGCGAGCTAAACTCCAATGCAAAATAAATTATAAGGATTTAATCCTTTATCAATCAATCCTTTATAATCCTTTATCAATAATCAGTGTAATTCGTACGGAACCTTCCCCTCAGACTCGGTACGCTCGAGCTGAACTCCATAGCGAAGTAAATTATAGGGATTTATTCTTTTGTGCGCGGATTCGTCATCGTAAATGCTATTCTTACGGAACTTGCCTCTCAGACTTCATTTCATCGTCGTCAATGCTATTCGTACGGAACCTGCCGCTCAGACTCTGTACGCGCGAGCTAAACTCCACAGCGAAGTAAATTATAAGGATTTAATCCTTTGTGTGCGGATTCATTTACCGTCGCCAATGTTATTCGTACATAAAGGCTTGGAACAGAGAGGTCACGTTAGTGCACAAAGGGTATTTTGAATGGCGGTGCGCTATCACCGGTAAGAAAGGCATAAAGACTTGTGCTTGATAACTTTGACTTATTTGAGAGTTGATGTGAGAGCATTCTAAAGTATAACTGAAGTCTTTATTATTACCAAGGTTCTTTCAATGAGATGTTTGTTGAACAATGTATCTTGGGATGATTTTATGTGTTGCGCTGTGGGGAACTTAAGATATGGAAATATGTGTTGCCAAATATGGAAAGAAAAGTGAGAAATAATGAAGGTTAAGAAAAAGCTTTAAAAATTTGCATTTAAATAAAGTAAATTGAGTATTTGAACTGTATAATGCTGTTTTATTTGGGATACCATCGGCTTCTATATTATTGGTTCTACATGCTAAGATAAATGTCGTAGCAAACTGGGCCTATTTTGAATTGGTCAACCCTCGTCAGGCAGCATTATTCTACAATGCTATAATCGTATATAGTGTAGATACATTTGTGTCGATGCGGTGCTTAATTGCTACAACCGTATCTAGTCTATAAATGAAACTACATTTGCATCTATGTAGCCCGACAGTTGCGTCGTGTGTCTATTTATCTTTTGCTTGCTATTACTCTTATGTGTGACGTGCCCTCGAAGTTCGTTTGAACCAGACGCCACGATAAATGCTTCGTAGAATAATGATAATAATAATAAGTAACATAAATTGCGTCCCCAGGCGGAGACGGGCGATGTGAGCCGAGCGAGTGCGGTCTGCTGAGTCCCGACGAGTTTCAACTTCAGACGCTGCCGTTCTTCCCGGCGCTTGTGGACGGCAGGCCGCCCCTGCTGCCGCCTGGGCTGCCCAACGCCTATTGTCAGGTGATGAACTTCTCTTGTTTTGTGCCTTGTTTGTATTTTTTTATATTCGTATCTTTGTATTCAGCTTAAAATATTGTGAGTATAATTTCAACACATCAAGCTTATCAATGTTGACCCTGCAATAATGCAGAAAATGCACTGTAAATCCCTTAGAAATTGTGCCTTGCATGTTCTGTCCTGCGTATTTGTATTTTCATCTTTGTATTCATCCGCTACTGTATTCATCTTTTAAGTATTGTATTCTTGCATACATTCATTACCCGTTGTTTCTTTGAATTGTTTGTGCAATGGGAAAGTTGTTAGTGTCATTGCAAACGCTTGCTGAGAGGTGAGATTTGTGAATTTGAGTTCCAAGAGTTACACGATTCAACTATTATTGTATTTGCGGTGATTTACAAAGATGGATTTTATGATTTTATTTTTAACGACCCCTTTGATATGAAACTCGGTTTCACATTCATTTCTTTTTGACGGGCTTCGGTGACAATCACGAGGCTTAGTTTTCGTTGACTTTCTCGGCACCTAAATTGACCTCAGATGTGTGGGTGGTCGTGTTCTTACTGATATTTGCTGTGGTGGTAGAGCGTGATATTCATTGACCTCAGAAGATGCTCATCGATGTGGTCGTTTTCTTACTAATATTAATAATATTTCTTGTGGCCGCAGAGCGTGATATTCATTGACCTCAGAAGATGCTCATCGCTGTGGTCGTGTTCTCACTAATATTAATAATATTTGTTGTGGTGGCAGAGCGTGAAGGCGAGCCAGGCGGCCGTGATGAGCGTGAGGGCTGAGATGCGTGAGGCTTGCTTGTCGCCCCAGCAACGCTCCGTCCTGCAGCGAGCCATCGACCAGCGCTTCAAGGTACGTGGCACTATTCTTAAGTTTAATTTTTAAAATATAAATTTCTTCCATAATGTAAATGTCAATGTGTTGGATTTGGTGTTTGGTCATATCTTTATTAAATAAGAAACCATACGTAAACTTGATCTGTTATATGGACTTGACTTCTATGGGTGGTCAAAATTTTCGGGATTCAATGAATTTGTATAGATTTGTTCAACTTCAACACTCATACATGTCTTCACGTATGTTCGGATATTCTTCGCTTATTTACATATATTTTTTTCGGTTTCAGGCTTGGTTGCGAGAAACTGGCAAGGAAATTGAGTTGGATCTCTTGAATAAATTGTCTGATCACCTACGTCTTCAGGTCGTCTCATAGATAAATACTGATGCCTAATTATCGCGTGTCCCATAATATTGTGATTGCGGGTTTGAACACAGGCACGTCTCAGGCTCTATCTACAATTAAACTCCAAATTCCGTTGGGAACTTGACTGTGAGGGCTGATAGATTTTAATTTGAAGTCGAATGGAATCAGCTGTTGATGGTCAACGTTCAACGGTTAGGGCTCGGTCTGTAGAAACTTTCTTTCTACAGTACAATGGCATTAGGGTCATAATTCAATTTGAACCGTTGACAGCTAGCAAATTGGGCTAGTAGAAATTTTAATTTTTCAGTTTTTTTTACATTTTTTCACCATATAGCTTCGAACCAGCTGTCTGCGATGATTACCTTAGTAGCTTAGGGTTTAGTTATAGTAGCTTAGTGCCTTATCTTAGTTTGTATGTTGTCTAGGAATATTCGATTCTAGTCTCATACACGATCAAATTTCAGCAAATTGTGAAGTGGAAATTGTAAATTGCTAGGGTCCGCGGCCAGTTATTGTAGGTGGTTTGTTGCAGAGTTTCGATTGTCAGAACGCTTTAGTCGAGACGCGGTCCATCTATTTCGGAACTTTGAGTGGTCACACTAGGAAAGTTTTTAATAAAGCACGTGATGAACCTAATATATTGGATGGTCAGTAAGTTCTGTTAGAAACGTTGCTGCTAAGGAGGCTAGTGAAACTTTCAGTTTTCCCAATGAATGCATTTCCGACTAATTCAGTCAAGTGAAAAGAACCAAAGAAAAATCTCTTTGACCTAGCAGTTTTTATAACATAAGATATGTACAAATTACCTAAAATAGGTTATATTACATAGTGGTAACGACACCGGCTTGCTGTGCCTCCACCATGTTTTTCGCTCGCTGTCAAGGAAACGATGCACGATATTGTATTTTTATTTTCTCGTTTGTTCATGAATGATGCACATAATTTCCATCAACATCCAAACAGGCACAAAACCATTAAGGTACACAACGCTTATGACATTTAAATCGATGTGATGCAAGCTTCTAACGGCCGTGCGCCAACCCTGACTCTAGTAATGATTAAATGAACGGCATCACTCGTTAAATCTATCATAGCTGATTTTCATCCTATTCATCAGATAGAGTACCAGAAATGTGCACAATTCCTTACAATATATTCACAAATAAATTCATTTATTTTTACTGGTTATTAATAAGCTAATTTATTTTGTAATAAAATTGGTGTGAAAGGTGAACATTCAACTCTTTTACATAACTTAAAAATGTATAGTCATGTTTCCAGTCGTTAAACGTTGTTTAATTTCAATATGATCGTCAAATCCTTTGTGTTAGTGGACCCTGAACCTTTTTCGACTGCTACTCTAAGTGAGAGTGATACACCGTTGCCGTGAGGCGATATACGTGGATGAATGAGACACCTTGATTCTTCTCCTGAAGGTGATACGCGTTCGTCGCGGATAGGGGCGATGAAAACAAGACAAAACTGATAACGATAGCCGTTAATTGAAGGGAAGACGAAAAATGCATGCAGAAGTAACCTGGTACTACGGAAGCTCGATCACGAGGGAACATTAGCGTAGATTCGCTCGTCCAATTCATGCCAGATGAGAGAGATCTGCATTTTGCAGGCAGAAATACATGACCGGCCACAGTCTACACACCAAAACATCGCTGAACATGAAAAGGAGGAAGAAAATTATGACTTCGATTAGGCATTGCCTTCAGCTTACGTTCTTCGCCTGTAACTGCAAGTTAATGCGATCGCTGCGAGCTACAGTCTTGCAGCGCTTGAAATGTCGGTTTGAATAACGCCGAATATTATTCAAATTTAGTCTTCAATGACGCAGAAGATTCTCAACGGTGCATAGAAATAGACAGCTTAGCGATACATACAGTGATGAGTGGTATGAAAATAGGTATCTATATGAGATTCTGATGACATTTTGTAAAATGATAATATTTATGTACACAGAAGTAAAAGTTTAAGATGCGAAAAAAGTTTAAGATGCCGTAACTAAATTTTGTCGCATTATGTTACTCTTATGCAAGATTTCGCAAAACGGAGCAATAATGATTTAGAGCAAACCTCGAATAGCCTCAAGTTCACCAAGTTGACAAAATAAATTTTCATGACCGTTGGCGTGCATATCATCCGAAAGGCTGAAAGCCACGCATTTATTTTTGTTAGAAAGGTAATTCTGACGAAACAGTTGATCAAAAATTAACGAAAGTTCAATACCTGCAACACAAATGGACAGAGCGTCACATCAACACACGATGCACTTGGGTTTTAATATCCTTCTAAATTTCCGGTTAAATTTATGGCATAGTCAGTAGTGCAAAGATCAGGTCATCAAGCGCACTACCTTGGCCAAAAAAATATAGTTACGGTGTGTAAAAAATTATACACGCAGAAACACATAACTAGGACGAGGTAACACAGAACAGAAAAAGAATTGCGTACGTGCAGATATGCAAAAGCAATGAAGACTACAGAGAAGATCCTCTCGCGAGGGAGTACTTGGCATAATCATGTATTCTCTAACGTAAGGAAAAAACTTTCATCACTATCCGTCTCCTGGAAAAAAATGGACAGCATAAATCGATCTGCAGCCGTCAAACCAATGCTCAAGAAGCTTGAGATGCTTCATTCTAGCCTAGTAAGCCCGATTCCTGCGCGTAAATCAAAATGGTTGCATGTTCTCCTTCATACATGTAAATAAAAATAGGGCGCAACACAAATGAGTGTAGAAATAAAGCCAACATAAAATCTCGTGTTCATGCTATACAAATAAAACTAAATGAGTAACTCATAATAGTTCGTTACCTAAAATCTCATCTCAGTTCACAAAGATCTTATACCAGAAGTACAGGGATGTTGTTACAATCATTTGAGTGGAAGAATCACAGAGACCAGCTACCATACCCGCTGCTTATTTTGTTCATGCAAAATTGATCAACTTGCACCAAAAAATCCGATACACAAAAAGAAACTGATGCGTACGTACCGTATAATAAAAAAAATTGGTAAAAAATGAAAAAATCGATCACATGAACGTTATTTAGAAAAAAGTTCATGAACTAAATTTAGGACTGTAAATGAGCAAAACTTAACGATGCACAGAATTACAAGCCTAATATGAGTTTATAATGAACAGGGGCTAAAATACTCCATCGCATCATTTGGAAGGAGCTATGAAGTGGATCCTGGAATATTCAATGATTGAGGCGGGCCAAATAATAAATAGGCGAGTTAGCTCGGATGTCCTTTGATCAAACAAGCCTTTTGAGCAAGAAGCTTGTCGTTTTTTCATAACAAATAATTTTAATAAAGATAGAAAAAATCTAAGGTTCTAACTTGCACAAGGTATTTCCATTCCCCAATATATGACAGAGAATTCGTTGAAACAGTATGAGCAAGTCAAAAACGAACAACTCCTGACCATTACGATATGCTAGCAAAATCACGTATTAAATAATGAACGTTAGCAACATTATGTGTTGAATAATGAAAGCTGGCAACATTATGTGTTGAATAATAGACGCCAGTAACGTTATGGGTTCAATAATGGACGGTAATAACAAAAAATTAAATACTGCTGAGCTTTTTCAGTGGTGGAAGATAAAGTTGATGAGACGCATTTCAAGGCCACTTCGAGCGAACGATGAATGAATGATAAGCCCCGACTTGCACAACACAGAGTAATGACAATAAAATGCAAATTATAACAAAACAATGACTTTTTTTCGGGCTACATTAACGTTACCAGCAGTCGTAAAAAAATCTTCATCAATAATCAGGATATAATCCAGTGACGAATGATACGCTGTTTTAAACAAACAACACTTTCATTCGCAGTCGAGGTGAGATCTTCTCCTTGTAGTAATAAAGTTAGTGAGCTGCAAGCGCAAGGCCGTCGACAGCTTGGTAAAACACTGAGGAAGCTCCACAATTTAGGGGTGCACTGATTCATCGGCCGAACATCTAAATAAGAAGGAACACATGCTTTGCTATACAAAGAAAAAAACAATAAGAAAATCCCGAAAGAATCGGTGTGACACCCAGCTTAGAAAGCTATGGGATAATCAAGACTTTATAAATGTGTTTTGGCATCTTGTACATTTAGAGCTTCGAACAGAAAAAATTTAATTACTAGCAAGCTTTTATATCAGTGCTATTTTACGCAGGGAAAGTTCTTACATGATGCAAACATCGCAATATGGGAGATATTCGTGAGTTATAAACCTCAAACTAAAGATCTAGACTAGATTGCCACCTTCTCTCGTATTCTATGTATTATAAGCCTGTTATTCTTCATTTTTTACAAGATGAAAAGAACTCAGACGAGAAATAATATCAACGTGACGTGTTCATGAACAAAGTAAACTTTACAGCAGCTGGGCATTTCTTTGGTAGAAAATATCATTGATAAACAAAACAAAAATGGAGAACATAAATACAGCAAGCGACCATCTTGCGGTAATTCTATTGATTTTGTGACATAAGAAATTATTGGAGGCAGAGAGGAAAGGGCCAAATAAAACTTCCAGAGAAGTTATTAAATGAGCAACATTAATATCGCATTCGGTTGGAAAGCCTAAAAATAACCACCAGGATATTTCATTTCTTCAGCATCTGAGTTCACCAGCAGCAATTTTACATCTAAATCCAGCTAACTTTTCGAAGAGCATTGATGTTTCTAAACATTACCTGTATCTTCCAAACAATTAGACCTACCAATTGAACATCCAAACTAATATTGGACATTCAAAATAAAGAAAAAAATACATGAAACGTACATTATCTTAAATTATTTGTTTTCGAGTCGGAAATTTCAATGCAGAACTTCACTGTAGGTAACACTTAAAAAATCAAGGGACTAAGTTTCAGCTCCTATCTCATTATTAAGTTCCGTTCAGAGCTGCTACTGTACATAATTGGCTAGCATCTCAACGCCAAACATCACACTGCACGTTACACAGATGGGTAGATTCAGAGACATAAATTCAGTTTACTATCTATACATTAATTCTTCGTCAATGATAGAAATTGCGAGCCTTGTGATGCGAATCGCTGTAAGAAATTTTCACATCACATCCCGAGGTGTCGAATGTCTTGTACGCACACGAACGTTCGATCATAAAGACACACTCATTCATTTCCAAACTCATGAGGTCATGGCGTTAGTTTAGTACTGTACATAATCTTCTTTTCACTTCAGTATGAAAACAGAACCTGTTTTCAACACATTAACTCCACACAAGTAACACTGAAATACACGAACTGGAGTGGCGTGTCACATGATAAACGACGAAGAAAATCATCCTTTGAGGCGTAGATAATAATTCGTTTACATAGATTATAATTAACACGATGAAAGGGATGAGGGGCTGCAGAAGAGGTCCAGCGCAAGGTCACACGTCTTGGTGTTTACTCGGGCTCGTGTTGATGAAAGGTTCGCTCCACATTCTTCTCAAGTCACCCTGCACAAACGAACACAGTCAGAACAAAAATGACTCGATGAGAGCCCCACCTTGAGGTAGGCCATGGAGAGGACAGAGTTGTGCGAGGGTCGGACCATGTAACAAATGTTCAACGCCTCTATAAGGTCCCACCTTGAGATAGGCCACGGTAGACTTATCTTGAGGTTTACTACGAATGAAGTGTTCAACGACTCGATGAGAGCCTCACCTTGAGGTAGGCCATGGAAGACTTATCTTAAGGTTTACTACGAATGAAGTGTTCAACGACTCGATGAGAGCCTCACCTTGAGGTAGGCCATGGTGAGGAGCGGCAGGAGCGTGAAGGGCACGAGGTAGAGCAGCGCAGGCTGGGCAGCCTTGAACACCTCGCTTGACACCGTCGCCGTCAGAAGGCCCAAGAAGTACCCGATCAACGAGCAGTGAAAATAGCTGCAAGTCATCGTAATTGTCTAGAGATTAGATGGAATATCAATCGTTCCTAAATAAAGGAAGCCTTGTTTGAAAGAGCACTTGCATAATAATCATACTTAGCTATCATGCTGAAACTTGTAAGAAAGGAATACAACTGTAAATTATCACTTTAAACTGTGAAAATTTACGTCAGCACGGTAATGGAAAACAGTTGAGCTAAAATAACAGGCTAACATCAGAGCTATTAAACTGCTTCGAGTGTTGACTTTTTAGGGCAAAGAAAATAAGGAAAATGAGAAGGGAATTCACCTTATTTCTACTAAGAATGTTTCAAAGACCAGCTCCCCTTTCAGTTCAATGTTAAATAAAACATGTGAATCATCATCAAACAAACGATAACATTTCAGATTATACTTGAATTGATTGATCATTGAACACGTGATGGGGCTGTTCTCTGAAATGTTTTCAATAAAAATCTGGTGATATTCTAATCGTTTTCTTTGCTTCTATATTTTTCATTAATCTGTTATTTCAGCACAAAAATTACAAGAACACCATAAAAATTCGGCAGCACATTCACAGGAAAATAGCGGGCTAGAAAATTTAGTCGAACGTTTGTAACGGTAAAACACAAGTTGGAATTGTTAACCCCCTTTTAGAAGGATATTAAACAAGCACAGCACGCATACAAAAAATATTTTGAGAAGCAAGCAGGTCACCTGATTCTGTTCATGTGTGATGGCGGCACAGGGACGCCGGCCTCGGTAGAGAGCAGCTGAGCTTTCTTGTAGGCGTCGTAGCGAAGTACGAAGCACAGCAGCAAACCCGGCATCACCTGCACGCACAGTACAAACAATCATTCAGTCCACTCAGTGGACTGAGTTCACTCACAGTGGACTGAGACCACTCACAGTGGACTGAATCCACTCACAGTGGACTGAGTCCACTCACAGTGGACTGAGTCCACTCTCAGTCGACTGAGTCCACTCACAGTGGACTGAGTCCACTCTCAGTCGACTGAGTCCACTCACAGTGGACTGAGTCCGCTCAGAGACGCATCGTTTTCCAGTGATGGAGGTTAGTAATTTGCAGAAAATAACACGACGGAAGCTACGAACATATGCTCGGCCAAGATAATTAGCAAACAACTAAATTAAAAAATAATTCCTCTACGCGGCAGTCAAAGCCGAGTTTAAAAATGTTACCCTCTTAAATCCAAACTTTACTACCACAACAATCTAACTCGTTTTTATATTGAAACTATTTTTGCATGAATATATTGAACAGAAAACGCGGATCCTGGCGGGCATTACTGGGGCAAAAATCCTTCACAAGATAAGCGTGGCTTAGAATGCTAACATGAACGGTTCTGCAGGTTTCTCTTTGAAACAGATTCAGGTCTAATAACAATGTTAGGCAAAAGAAAGCCTGTATTTCAGTGCAAAAAGCAATATTGAATTTGTTAGCTTACCACGTCACCGAGACCCAACATGCTGAAGTGTCCGCTGTGCTGCATGGAAGGGAAGACGAGTTTGCCGGGCAACGAAAGCTTGGGCACATCGCGGGCCATGCTGCCCAAGTGCAGCTTGCGTGCCATCACACCAACGGGATTCTCTGCGGGCCTCGTGGCCACCTGACATGAAAAATATTGTCACAACACTGTAATCGTGAACACCTACGAATCTTGGACAGATCTTATTAATTATTCTAATAACAAACACAAAGGTCGCTTAACGCGAAAATCGTGAACACCGTTGAAGCTTGGGCCGATCTCATTAATTCATCTAATAACAAATACGTACAATTGTTGCTTAACGCGACAATCGTGAACACCTATGAATCTTGGACCGATCTCATTAATTTATTTAATAACAACTACAAATGTTACTTAACGCGACAATCGTGAAAACCTATGAATCTTGGACCGATCTTATTAATTCATTTAATAACAAACATACCCGGTATAAATATGACATGGAAGAAGCTCTAACCTACCTACAGCGCAAGACTAAAATCTAGACTTGCCTATGGCAATGTAAAAATATGAAATTTTGCAGCTCAGTCATCTAATCCAGAATTAAGAATGATGAAAGATAAAAGAATCTTGTGATTAAATTACAGATGTTGTATGATTGATACTAGCAACTTGAAGAGTAGAATTTTAACGATAAAAACACAAAATTTGCAAGCATGGGAAAATTTATTCATTTCGAATTATTATTCTTCAGTACCAATTCATTCAATATTTTCCCCTCACTCACAGTTCAAATCCAACAGCCAAAGGTAAATGTTATAAATAAACGATGCTTCAAGATTTGAAAAATCAACAATCAGGTTAAAGAAGTCACAACTAGCAATGCGAATTTAACACCTCCCACCTTAACCATAAGGTTAACGTTTAATAAGTCACTACTAAATGCGAATTAATGAGTTCCCCACCTTGGCCATAAGGTTATCTTCAAATAAGTCATTACTAAGTGCGAATTGAACAGTTCCCCACCCTGACCATAAGTTCAGCTTCAAATAAGTCATTACTAAATGCGAATTGAAGAGTTCCCACCTTGACCATAACGTTAGCTTTAAAGAAGTCACTACTAAATACGTATTGAAGACTTTCCCACCTTGACCATAAGTTTAGCTTCAAATAAGTCATTACTAAATGCGAATTGAAGACCCACCTTGACCATAACGTTAGCGCTAAAGAAGTCATTACTAAGTGCGAATTGAACACCTCCCATTTTGAAGAACCTAACATTCATTACAGTGTCTCGGCAAGCGTCCATAAAAACTATCACATTTAATAGAACATATATAGCAATAAACTTATACGGTTAGCTTTAAAGAAGTCGTTACTAAATGCGACCTCCCACCTTGACCATAACGTTAGCGTTAAAGAAGTCATTACCGGTACTGCATAAATGAGAACTGAACACCTCCCACCTTGACCATAACCTTAGCATTAAAAAAGTCGCTAGGTACTAAATGCAAATTAAGGGCTTCCCACCTTGACCATAACGTAAGCATTAAAAAAGTCGCTACTAAATGCGAATTAAGGGCCTCCCACCTTGACCATAACGTTAGCGTTGAATATATAGGAGGAGAAGAAGACCCAGAAGACGTCGTACACGAGCAGCCCCATCAGCAGCAGCGTCGAGACCTTCAGGCTCGGCAGCCGCACGAACGCGATGAACGCCACGCACAGACCCATGCCCATCGCTGCGTGTACAAGTCATCGTTAACACTTTGCCGTCATTATATATTCATATTGCTGGATTATATATTCATAACGTTTATCATTTGTAGCATGGCATGCATTCATCATTTGTTGCATACCTAACCTTTATCATTAATAGCATAGCTATTATCAATTGTAGCAGAGCATTTATCATTTGTAGCAGAGCATTTATCATTTGTAGCATGGCATTTATAATTTGTAGCATGGCATTTATCATTTGTAGCATGGCATTTATCATTTGTAGCAGAGCGTTTATCATTTGTAGCATGGCATTTATCATTTGTAGCATATCATTCATCATTTGTAGCAGAGCATTTATCATTTGTAGCATAGCATTTATCATTTGTAGCATAGCATATATCATTTGTAGCAGAGCATTTATCATTTGTAGCATAGCATTTATCATACGTAGCATAGCATTTATCATTTGTAGCATAGCATTTATCATTTGTAGCATAACTTTTATCATATGTAGCATGACATTTATGGCATTTATCATTTGTAGCAGAGCATTTATCATTTGTAGCATGACATTTATCATTTGTAGCATAGCATTTATCATTTGTAGCATGGCATTTATCATTTGTAGCAGAGCATTTATCATTTGTAGCAGAGCATTTATCATACGTAGCATGGCATTTATCATTTGTAGCATGGCATTTATCATATGTAGCAGAGCATTTATCATTTGTAGCAGAGCATTTATCATATGTAGCATAGCATTTATCATTTGTAGTACAGAACTTATCATATGTAGCTTAGCATGTATCACGTGTAGCATAGCATTTATCATATGTAGCTTAGCATGTGTCACGTGTAGCATAGCATTTATGATATATAGCATAGCATATATGATATAAAGCATAGAATATATGATATGCAGCATAGCAATTAGAAGGTTCATCATCTATCAAGTAGTCAAGGTACTATCGCAACGAGCATCATTGAATTGGTGCCGCATATAATAGTGAATAACACCAAACATTGGTCTGCATATCTCGCAGAAAATGAAAATAAGGTTCGTTTTGATTTATCACAGCAGTGAATACGAAGAAACTATCTAAAAATGTTGCTTTCACATTCTATACAGAATTAATTCAATGATTATTATCATCAAAATAACATAGTTAATTTTTCATCATCCTATGGAAATGGAATAAGGGAAAATATTCACAGGTACATATGTAATAGAGAAATAATTCAAATCTTAATAGCAAAATAACTTGGTTAATTTTTTTAATTTTTCACCCTCCCATGGAAATGAATGAGATAAAATATTTACGGGTACCTACATATGTTATACAGAAATAATTCAAATCTTAATATCAAAATAAGTTAGTAAATTTTTAAAATTTTCACCCTCTTATGGTAATGAATGAGATAAAATATTTACGTAATATGATAAAACTGACCGTCCATGAGCAGCCAATGTCCCGTGAGAACCCACACGCAGACGATGGTCACTGACAGGCAGAAGGATAAAATCTCAGCGCCCGTGAAGCGTCCACACATGCCGAATGATATCCTGCAGGGACGGGAATCATGAGACACTTTCGCATTTGTAATAAAAAGTTTACAGTAAAGTGTAAAAAAGTGTACAAAAAAGTGTACAGATGACAAAAGTCATCTGTACAAAGCCTCGGTCGCAGAAAAACTACATACCATATGTTAATTTTAATATTTTTATAGGATGATACAAGTAAGACGAATTGGCGCCACCAGAACCGGGAATATGAAAAAATATTGAAACAAGTAAATTGAAAAAAATTACAATCTATTGAAAAAACTGAACATCCAAGTAAGAGCAATTTTTCATCGGATTTTTTTTCGATTAAAAAATAGAGAACTTTTTTGCCTGCGCAAATTTCAGCCTCAGTTATCATTACCTTTCAAGTTCTAAAAATAACTTTACAGGCATGAATGGCTTGAATGTGAGAAATGACAGACTATTAAGTTAAGAAATAATTTAATGGCAAACAACATTTTGGGCTCCAACTATGATTTGATCGTTCACAATAAAAATGATGTCTTCAACTTGCTTATACAATATCTCAGATATTCCGTTTTTTTCGCACGCATCAGGTAATTAATGGAAAGAAAGATAGATTGCAATAACGTGTGGAAACTTCGCCAGAGATACGGGGCGGGTGGAAGGCTCACTTTTTGTTGTCCGTGCACGGCCTGATGATGTATTGGCACATCGGGAGCAGCAGAAACGCCAGCGCCACGGTAGCGATAACTGAAACAAAACACAACACACTTAATTCATTGAGTAAATAAATGCGACTTAGAAATTGTTCACAGTAAAAAGCGATGTTTTAGATAGATTGAAATACAAGAAATAAATAAGCTATTAGTATACATTTGTGATGCCTGCAACGAGGACAAGAGAACCAGTTGACATGTATTCCATACAATACAAGAAACAGTTGATATCTTTTCCACTCATGAATATATAAGATAACGATTAATGAAAATATTGATAAACTCTCTAGATACCGTACACAAGATATATCAATGGAATTGAGATAATCTAAAAAATTATCGAAATTGATTGCTAGTACCGTCAATTGGGGTGACTTCGGCCACCAACAGAAATAAATGGCAGCAAAACAGAATAATAAATGTTGGCAAAACTGACTGGGATGACTTTGGCCAACGTTTATTATGTTTTGCTGCCACTTGTTTCTGTTGTCGTGGTGGCCGAAGTCACCCCACTTGACGGTATACAGAAATATATAGCACTAAAGTGGACTCACTGGCATGACACGAAAGTCCTCACAAACTCCCTAGATACGCGAGAGATATCAATGTAATTGCGATAATCTAAAAATTTGAAGTTTATTGCTAGTATACAGAAATATGTAGCAGTAAAGTGGACTCACTGGCGGTACAGACGGCAAAAAGCATCTGCATGGAGTCGAAGAAGAAGAACATGACGAGGAGCGACACGGAGGCACCCAGAGGCAGACACATCGCCTGCAGACTGTCCAGCGTCTGCACGTCTGTAAAGAAGCCTGCATCGAAGCTATATCGTATACTGCACTGCTTAAAACTTACAGCTTCGTAAATATAAACAAGTAAACTGAATTTGCACGAGGAAATGCAAATATTAATGATAGTTATGATGATGTTGGTAACGAAGGCTGCATCGAAGCTATATCGTATACTGCACTGCTTAATGATAGTTATGATGATGCTGGTAACGGTAATGCGTGAAATGTTAGCAGCAACTCAAGCAGTTGTGGACAATGATGATGAAGGTTATCAAATATGCGTGAATGACCAACGTCTGTAATATTACAGAGTTAAAGTTTATTGTGATAACGATGTCTGTGGTTAGAAATTATAATTATGGCTTCTCTTGCTCACGAGAATAGCGTTAATTGGGAACATGAGAACTATGTCAGGTATAGATGTATTAGTATTATTAGGTAATCTTAGTTAGTAACTTAGTATTAGTAGCATTAGTTTGTATTAGTTTATCGGCATTATTTTATTCCACAACTAAAAGTCATTTGTACAATGATAATTCTATTATTAGGCAAAAATACCGATACGTCATGTGCAATACAGTGCACGAATAGGACCACACCTCAAGCTGAGATGCAATGCATCGCAACTCATGGACGGACAGTGTAGAGATCAGGACCGATTAGCTGAATTGAACAACACAGTAACGCAATATTTCACATTTTGTTAAGCGTAAATAAAGAGGGAAAATCTCACTGTTTTCCTGAGCTGCAGGCGTAGGAAGACCTAGCAGCTTATGTCTCTCCTTCTCCTTCTCTCTCTCCCTCGCCTCCTGTTCCATGTTGAGTGATCTGCAACATCAACGAGCATCTTGAGACTTGGCTCTCGGTGTCATACGACAAAACAAACACATTTTAGGAACATCATATGAGTCGGAAATGGCGTTACTGTTTCTTATGTTGTCCATACTTTGTAAAAGTTAAATTTGAGTAACAATTTTGAGAAAATTTAGCAGCAAATTGATCAAGGCAAGTTGAATTGCACTAAACTAACGATCATACGGGCACTCGTACGCGGAACGCTCGAATGATCTAGTGGGTAATTTTTAATTAAACAGCCTCATCAAGCCGCAGCAACAGTCAGAAAGAAAAAAACAATAGCTACTCTAATAAAATAATTACTATGTACTTGAAAGTTGTCGAATTGCTTTAAAAAGGTCGAACGTTAACAATCACTCTAACTATACAAGCATTAAGCAAACGCAGCGAGAACATTATCATTATTTCTTTCAACGACATCAAAAAGTTCTTTGCATTTAGTTCAACTTTTGCTGAAAACACAATACGGCTGACTTCCGTCTTCATATTACGATGTGCCTGTAATATTTCAAGTGGACCGTGAAGCAAAAGATGCATATTGACCTTTTTTTCCGAGAGTAACTCACCTGAAGCTGCCATAGACGATGAGGAGGATTGATATGAGGAAGGTGGAGACTCGTGACGAATCCACGATTGAATACGCCCTGAAATAGATAGAAAACCGTTGTAAAAAAATTCTCACACACAGGAATTAGGAAGAATCTCTGTGGCCAAAAAATAATAGAATTTGCAGCGTGGAACACTTTTCCTTGTGGCACAGAAATCGTGGACAGTTCATAAGATACCTTAAAGAAGCACAAGAGACGAGCTATGGCTAATGAGATGTGCAAAATAGCTAATGAGATGTGCAAAATAGCTAATGAGGTGTGCAAAATAGCTAATGAGATGTGCAAGCAGTATTTTGCGCCCGTACGAGTACAATGCCAGCATGGGAGGTGTCTAGTTTTTAGGCTGGTGTGGCCCGTACAGCGAGCGGAGTGAGGGGAAAGTAACCCAGGCAGCACCTGCAGCTCTCATGGAGTCACGGCCGTTCGTTCGCAGGACGAACGGCACTAGAACTCTGAAATGCGAGTTAGGCAATTTTTGTGCTCACTAACCTTATTATTACTTAATAGCGTCCAAAATTAAACCGTGATTCAACATTTCACAGAGACCGTGATTCAACATTTCAATAGTAAACGAAAGCGTATAATGTAAATGCACATTGTCAAAAATATTAGCGAAATAATCAGAATTGGTAGTCTGCACAAGACTATGATGAAGAAAATTAATGGATAATTTACTTCCATTGTCACAAGAACTATAGAGCCATTTTTTCAAACCTGAATGTCGACTGATAGGTGATTCACGAATTTTCCATCAATTAATCATTATGTTGCATTGTTCACGTGAAGAGCGTCAAAACGCTTGTGAGCTTACAGTCATTAAGACTTCAGAGTATCAGAGTACAGGGGTTAGACAAAATAAGGGAAACGCCCTAGAAATCCACAAAATATATTTTAGTGTGGTGTTACTGGTGTAGGTCCAAATTTTGTGGCGAAGACAGTCTCAATTCCCCGAGGTATTTGATTCATTCATATTGTTAATTGTTTTCAAAGGAGTTTAACCCATTCTACAGTTGAAACTCCCTTAAGCTCTTTTGAAAACGAAGGCAGCGGAAATCGACTTCTGTCTAGCATCTTTAAAATCGACCATAAATGCTCGATTATATTCAGGTCTGGTGATTGTGGTGGCCAAATGGAAGCTCAACTTGATTAGAATGTTCCTCGTTATATATTTTTGGCAATTCCAGCTGTATAAATCGAGCATTATCATCTTGAAAGATATGGTGTTCCCCTCCGAAAACAGTGCTTGAATCACTGGATGAACTTGGTCCTCAAAACTTCCTAAATAGTCACGGCTGTTGATTCTTCCATGAAGAGAAATCATTGGTCGGCCGGATTTCCAAGAATTAGAACCCATATCATTCCAGATCCCCCGCTATGTTTTACTGTTGGGAGGAGGCAGTCGGGATTAAATGACTCTTTTGGCTGTTTCCGAACGTAAACTAGGCCAGAGGTTGGAAATAAGGTAAACGATGATTCGTCAGAAAAATATCACATTTTTCCACTACTCGAGGGACCAATTCTGAAGGTTTTTACACCACACTAAACGCTTGGAGGAATTTGTATTCAAAACCAGAGGTTTTCTAATTGCAGCTTTCCCGTAGAATTCAGATCTGTGCAGCTCTTGCCATACGGGCGTCAACAATTCGACCTTTTCAAAAGTCAGAGAGGTTTACCATTTATAAGTTATTGGTTAAGTTATACTTTAACAGACATAAAAAATTATTAATAATATTTGTGCAAGGATAACATATCAATTAGCAGCAACAATAAAGAATAAAATATAAAACTATGCCATGTTTTCATTGTACTATATAACATGTTCAAAAAATTACATCAAGAAATAAAATTACATCAAGAATTACGATACAATGTTTGATGAACGTAATGCTACAAATAATTTCAAACAAAATAACAGAGCGTAAATTTGACGGCCTTAATAACATGAAGATTTAATGCACTTACATGAGAGTGATCGGAGTCTGCACTTGAGTAGTAGGCATAATGGACGATAGCGAGTCGATCAATCGACTTATTTCTCTAGATAAAACAATAGCAACCCCCCCTAGATTAAGGCACTGAACACGTAAAGACACGTTCTAACTAGACTAGCTATGAGACTTATCACAGTAACAACTAGTAACTAATGGAAGCTATTCGAGTCGACTAGTCGAAGCGTCGAACAGATAACTAGACAAAGGGCAAGGTCACAAGCCAGGCGTAAGTATTATCCAGTGTTGCAACGAGACTTCGCGTTCTGCGTGTAAATCTTAAGAGGTAGTGTCATTGACATGAACTGCGAGGCATCGAACCATTAGGCACTGAGTATAACAAAGATGCGGAACAAAGTTTTGAGTCCTTATATATCTTTGGTGTGAGCAGTACTAGGAGAGAAGGAATAATTATCAAATTTACGAGAAGGGAAAAAAGGAAACACAAGAATCGAAGGAAACAGACGACGTGTGTAGGAATGAACTGGAGAGAAATGTCATCTGAACGTCAGTACAAGGAGCCAAATAAAAAACGTTATTGTGATACTTAAGTAGGTACGGTCGGCAGTCATAAACATGTCGCCTCAGAGGCTGCCATTGCAAAATAATATTCGGACTTGAATACGAATAAACTCTGTAGAAAAATAAAATAGATTATTATTCGATCATATGCAATGGTTTCATAATGGGGAAGTACATGATTATGCAAGGCTCACACTCATGAGTGCTCTAATTGAACAAAATGAAAAATAATTGGTCATTTGTAAGCACTAAAATTTATTCGAAATTCCTTAATTGCATACCTACTTTTGAAACTAAGCAATAAAAATCGCATTTCGACCGCCGAAAATTATGAAGACCTAGAACGAAAGAAGAATCTTTGCAGTCATTGCAGTATCATCACCTGGATCTCATTAACTCATTTAGTTTAATTAATCCTCATTAGGGCCAATTACGCTAAATCAAAAAATTATGAAAATTATTTTCTGCTAAATGGATTGGCTTCTAATAGCAAGAAAAGTTTGAATGCTCGTTTTGTTCTTTTATTTTTTTGATGATTTTCTCATTAGGAAATAGTTTCTGCACACATTTTTGGTCCAGCAATTCGACGCTAAGCATACGATAAGTAGCAAGCTATTCGTTAAGATTATTAAAATAACTATAGATCGAAAATCATCGATCGTAGCCTAGAATTTAATTTAGGATAATATAACTATCGTGTTATTTTTTTAAAAACCCCAAAAAATAAGTCATAAATTATAATTTTATTAAAAAGCTGACCAGAATCCCGATTATGATTAAGATTTGGTAAATCAAAATTTAAGACTTGTTAAATCAAAATCAAAAGGTAAATAAAAATTCAAGACTTGGTAGATCAAAATCAAATCAAAAACAAAAAGTAAATCAAAATTTAAGACTTGGTAAATCAAAATCAAAAGGTAAATAAAAATTTAAGACTTGGTAAATCAAAATCAAATCAAAAACAAAAAGTAAATCAAAATTTAAGACTTGGTAAATCAAAATCAAAAGGTAAATCAAAATTTAAGACTTGGTAGATCAAAATCAAATCAAAAGGTAAATCAAAATTTGGCGACTATTTCCAGATGAGGAGCATTCAAATCACAGAAGGCTAATATCTGACGCGTTTATTTATTGCGCTTATCTTTGGTTAGGTATCATGTCCAAACGTAGGATCAGGTCGTATCCTGGGCAAGGATACGACATATGTTGCGTTTGTGAGCAGAAGAAACGAGTGAGACTTGGGGCCATACTTTCAAAAAAAAAAAAATCCCTAACAAAATTTAGAGTCGCCCTAGCTTCTGGTACTCCAAATCAGAAGCTGCCGCGTCTGTAAATTTTTACGGGGTTAAGAGATCGTAAGTTCATCAGCCAATCATTGACGGCCTTTCAAGTAAAATTCACCAATCATAGACAAGATAATAGAGCGTAAGTACTCACGTTCACTTAGCGAATTTTGAAAGTATGGCTCTTGGTCAAAAAGAGGATGCACATTTTGCGTTTATTTGGGTCAACCTGACCCATTTTGGACCAGCAGAAGGGCTTATCGGTGCTACGTTCAGAAAACGAGTCACTATTTGGGCTAATAACTCATTTATATTTTCAAGTGAAAACAATAGTCGAACATCTCTTAGTTAAAAAAAACTTGCTTATTTGAGCTCGTAAAAATACTGGAATATGCATAAAGCTCGGAACTGGTTTGCAAAACAATTCTACACGACACAATCTTTAAATTTATTAAATCTTGCATACACAAAAAGGGTTGAGTATATCGGATAATATGTTAATGCAAATTTACCAGCTTAAGAAAGGATGTAAGATAAAAGTTGAAGCGTATGTCTGTTACGAGGTCAGGACAACAATTATCTGGTTCAGTGGTTGCCAAACTGTGGGTCATGACCCCGAAAACCATTGGTCATAAGTCTGATGGTAGTGGAGTGCCCAGCTGTGCAGAACACGTTTATAATGCCAGATTACAGTTCAATATTGAGTCAAGTCAATGAGCTGCTCATAACTTGACAGATGGAAAAAATATAACTCAGTACTCACCGCAGTGAGTGACAAAGAGCACGCACATTTTCTCGTCCCTCCATGACGTGAAGTCACGGACGGACGTCACGGTCGGACATGCATGCATGACGAGCACAATAGCGCCCTTTTTCCATAAATGAGAAAATGCGCTAAAAACGCCAAAAAATTAAGTTTTTCTCAATTTTGGCGTTTTATCTCTACTGAAAAAAAACACACATGCTACAGTGCATCAGAAGCAGGGAATAATTCAACGCGAGCTGTTCACTTAAGATGACGTGGGTCGCACGCAACAAGGGACGGCGAGAGCACAGCGGACGCATCTAATGAAGACTCATCATCTAGGATAGCTGCAGTGGTCTGTTCATGCGGGTCACGCTCTAAATGTATTAATGCATCTAATAAATCACGTATGATATAAAATATCACCACACATAGATCAAGTATCCCGTAGCTATTGTATTAATATAGAAAATAATATGGAAAATATACGGAGAAACGACTCATCACGAAAACAAATTTTACAACAGAACTGATTCTAATACCAGGCTAACCAAGATTATCCGATTTATTTGAAAGAATTACAGTAGTATTTTGAAAGAAGCAAGCATGCAAGTGCGCAATGACAGACATATATACAGACAGACAGAACAGCCTGTCGCTTCTTACGGGTTTACAAGCCTCAAGCCATACTTTCCATTATATCGACCCATCACATGGAACACTAATGAGGTTTCACGTATCCTATAGTGTAAAATACAAGTACAGAAACCCTGCTTATGGTGCTGGACTCAAATTGTTAATATCTTAAGATATTTGGTCATCTAAAACGATCGTTGATTGGCAGGAATAACTGAGAGAAACCTTGTGTTGACGGGAAGACAAAGCGCGACTGCTGATTGCAGTTAAAACAATACCAGCTTCGTCCCACCAGGTAAATGACGTCGAAACAAGGTTCAACTAACTTGATTCAACGAAACAAACTTGACAAAGTTGATACAACAAAAAAAAAACGTTTAACTAACTTGGTACAACGAAACAAAGTTTAATTCAACGTTGACCTTATATAGATGTCTGGTAGGGTAAAACTGATACGACCAGCGCTCGTGAGCGGATTGTTTTAATATGATATTACTCCCCAAAAAAATTCTTGTATCAACTTTATCAATGAAATAAATTAAAAAGAAAAAGTTCTGTGTATGCCGGCTTCAATGACGAGTGCAAATTAAAAACACCGAAAAAAAAACAAAAAATTACAAAACTTTTAGTTGTAAACTGTATACATAATTTGGAAGTCTTATACAATTACATGCCGGTGTCTTACTGCCCACATCCAAACATATAAAGTATGCGTTACAATGCGAATCCACATCCTCAAGTTCATCATAAAATACATTTTCCTTTCTGCAACGCCTACTGGTTATTCATGTAATATCTAGAACATGCGATCTTCCATGTTCTATAACCATCAAATCTCGATCGACTGAACACGCGACGATGTTATATACGCGCGCTTTCTGTATAGCCTACATGCAACTGATGCAAGAGATTGTTATTCCAGTTGAAAATCATGTTTCTAATACCCTTGTAATATGGGGTGGAGTGCCTATCTGTACAAAAAAAACGGTTATCACGTTGATGAACAGGACACTGCGGTCAATCCTTAGGGTTCGATATGTTAACTATGTACCATTGATTCGTACTACTGAATTATATATACAGTCAAAAATCCTGAAATTCGACATGTACAAATTTAAGCTTTTACAGTTTATGAATAGGGCACTTTTTCATGATCAGCGTCTTTTTGAAAGTTTTTTTGCTCCTCTTGTTCCTCATCATTTCCATGATACCAGAGGCGTTCGTCTCAACCTTCCACCGGTCCGTTTAGCAATAGAGAAAAATGGCACTGTTTTTAATTGTGTAAAACATTTTAATGAACTGCCTGATGACTTCAGAATAAACTGTTCCAAATCCATTTTAAAGACAAAATTTCGTGATCATATTCTTGCTCAATATTAATTTAACGTTGTTTATCTTATAGTATTTTTTTCTTGTGACAATTTACTTATGTACTGCCTTTACTTTAGAATGTAATATTTGTATCATTTTTTTGTACTTGTTGCCACTATTATGTTCATACTCGTCACCTATTACGCCTGCGAAGCTTTTTTATAGCTTGTATAGGCCTTTCACCTGGAAGCATTTATTTCTAAATAGCATGTTTATTTTTCTCTTTCTATTGAGTCGTGCTGTGTTGCTTCTGTGTGTGAAAGAATAAAGAATAAAGAAATATTTTGGTGCTTCTAAGACGCTGTTTCATAATTCTTAAAAGCCTCGCTACCAGCTGTCATTTTTAGCGCATTTCCTCATTTATGGAAAAAATGCACTATTGTGCTCGCCATGTCCGTCTGTCCGTGACCTCAAGTTTTGGACGACGAGAAAATGCTCTCTCTGTCACTCACTGCAGTGAGTACTGAGTTGAATTTTTCTATAATACTTCAGCAGAGTTTGTAGGAAACATTAAGTCATTAAGCGAGACAGACAACGACTCTGAATCGACAAGTGGCCTTCGCTATTCAGCGCTGCAGGCAACGCGATGACGGTGAATAATACAAGTTCTCTCCGTGGTAGTTTGATGAGAAATCCTGATACATGAAATTGGCATTATTTTACCAAGAAATAACGGTTAAATTACTAGTAACGATAACTGATAATACTGGCAAGATCGTTACTAATTTGTCAGCTCATAGTTTTTTAAATAATGGCAAGGTTGACGACACTTGCAGCCTTAAATATCGGCAAAGTTCTTTATAACCATAAAAAATCAAAGCTTGTCTGATTCTTAATTAAATTTTCACAGCTAACTAATTCCAAACTACCTCAATATTAGCTCAATAACTGCAATGGCATATAAATGCCCGAGAATTCCTTTCTTACATAGAATTCCTTCCCTATCCATTGAAATTCGACCGTTCAAATCAAGCATTCCATCGTTTAGTCTCAGTTGCAGGCATGTTCCGTTACACGAGAGCACAACTGAACGCACATAATAAATCTAAACGGAAAGGCCACAATGCTAGCAAACTGGCTTTGGATGATGAGCGAGTTGCTCCATTCTG